AACTTCCATCCCATTGGTGTAAATATGGATTTTTTATTTTTAACAACTTTCCCAATGTATTAAGTGGATATCTATCACGCATTTGCCTAATATAGTAATATGCATGTCATGTGATCTATCCATAAATAAACATTATCTTTGCATGTATAATCTTTTTATACTTACAATAAATGAATACAAAGTCATTTGAAAAAGATCGGGATACTGTACATAACCTAATAATTTGTATTAATATCGTCATATCATAATTCGGATTTAAATTTGGTAATGTGCTTATGGGTGAGTCACATACGACAGAATAAATAATAATTTGGAAACATATAATATGTAAGGGGATGAATTTGTCAATAAAGTTGGATGAGTAACTTAAGAAGTGAAAACAATATAATAAATAGCTTGAGTTAGTAGATGGGATTGGTGATCTAGTTCCCAACCAACATGATTTGATTACCCTCTTTAAAGGTTCATAAACACTAAGTCCATATATCAAGCATCCAAGCATATATAATTATTAATCAATATAAAAAATTCTTTTGAATTTTGTATGAGATCTATCATGTGTGTGACTTAAATTTTCTTGGAGTTGTTGACAAGAAAAGGAAAAAAATCTTAAGAGTTGTTCGTTTGACTACATTCATGCATAACGTGACCTTCTTTGTTCCCTACCATTTTTAATATCATTTCTATTTTTATATGTGTAATAGTATCATACCATGTCATGGTCTACTAGTGTCCCACTTAACAGGAGAACAGAGAATAACTCCAATTTTATACTAATCCCAAATTTCAAGATTTGGATTTGCTAAAACTGGATTTTACTAAAGTAGGAATTAACACATTTCATAAAATATTGATATCCATAGAAAAATATATAAAGTGGGATTCAATACCGTATGTTCCAAGATATAGATATTTATTACCAAACACCCTTCCAATTCTAGCTTCCCATCTCCCATTATGGTGATGCCTGCAAATTCATGATTCAACAACTTATGTATATATTAGAGTACTTAGTCTAATATGGCTATTTATGTATATTGAAATTCTGTTTACCTTGCAACGCCTCTGTATTTTGATACACCTCGAGAAAATCCACTACTTTTTCTACACCGGAATATTGTAAGTTAATTTTATAACTATATATGATTAATCAATTTGGTATAATTGATTGCTTAATTAGTTAATTTACCTTCTCAATGACCCAATATACTCTTCCTTGGACTGGCCTTCCATTTCTTTGACGTCTTCGTCATAAGTTGGCAACTAAAAGATTCACCAAAAAAAACACGAAATTATAAACAGTCCCTTTAATCTAAAAAAAAAAACACATTTTTGATGAATAAATTATGCAAGTATACGCATGTATTTTGATTATGCAAGTATAATCAAGAACTAGTAGGCGAGAACCGAGAAGATTGTGTAGCTAATTACAAAGATCATGAGAGAAGTAATTAATTAAAAATTATGTTTTAGCAACACTAATAATAATATGGATTGGGAGAAAAATTACAGGGAAGTTCAAGAGTGTGTCTCGTCCCCAGTACTTCAATGCTGCTAAGTCGTAGGCACGTGCTGCTGCTTCTTCTTCGTCGTAAGCCCCTATCCATAAAACCATATATTAATTTAATAAGAACTATACAATAAGGTTTAAATTATATTTATACAAGTCGAAAAGGACAAATAGGAATTGCGTTGGACCCAAAAAGAACAGCTAATAATAATAAACAGGCTCTACCAATTTCGGTGGAATTCATTCTTTAATTTACAACCATATCACACATGTATATATGGACTTTTTCATCACTTTGTCGAAGAGTATTTAAAAGAAAAAGTGATAGGCAAAAAAAAAGAAAAAAGAAAAAGGAAAAGTACAATACTTTATCAAAATTTGTATTTTTTTTCTACTTAAATAAAAAAATGGATATTGGCAAAAAAAAAAAAAAAAAAAACTCACCTAGATAAACTGCACTTGATGAGTCAGCATTCATCATCCATTGCACATCACCATCATAAAAAATAGGGTACCACAAAATTAAAAAAAAATGAAAAAGATCAAGAATCAAATCAAGAACAGTCGAAGGACAAAGTCTGGTCCGAAGAAAAAGGAGTTTGCGAGTTCATCGGAATCCAAGACCCAAAAAAAACTAACAAACTCCTCTTACAGGCAATAATTATATGTGTAAAGTATAGACAAACCTTGACGTCCTTTCTTGGTCTGTGTATCGTTCCAGCTGTTCTTATCCCACAAATGCGCTTCGTATCTCCCAGTCCATCTATGCCTATATTCAACAATCGGAATAATTAGATTACCCGATAAGGAAGGCGCTGAAAACGATGTCGTTTAGGGGTTTCTCAGATGAGAGAGAGACCTTGTGACGCCTCTATAAGGGGAGCTGCGTTGAGGAGGGGCGTTTAGAGGCGGCGACTTACGTTTGCGTTTGGATTTAAAGACAATGGACGCAGACTCAGATGCAGACGCTGTTTTATCGCTGATTTCATCCTCAACGATTGTTTTCTTGCTCCTCCGAGAGACTTTTGCCATTACCGGTGAATGAGAATAATTAAGGATGAGAGGCAATGGTGAAAATGAGAAACAGATAGTTGGAAATGGTTGAGTATTTATATTAAATCCATCACATCTTTCTTTTTTTCGTTTTTTTATATATATATAAAAATTCTATAACAATTATAAATATAGATTCTCAGCCGACTAATCAAGTTTGTAAAATATTTGAAATGAAAAAATTCGTAAGTTAATCATTTACCAAAAAATTATAATACTACTTTACAGATTACAATTTTAGAAATTTATAATTCAAACTTTTTTTTTTTTTTTTTTTTTTTTTTTTTTTTTTTTTATTTATATATTAAAATCTACCCAATGGGCTTGGGCTAAAGCCTTACAAAAAAACGAAATCCAGTTACAAAATTGTCAAAACGAAGAAGATGACCGGAATCGGAAAAAGCTGATCGGACCTCCGCTGATGGACGTAAGCAAAATGACCAGAACCTTAGATCCGGCGGACTCAAGATTCCCAGCTTCTCCACTGCCTCGAAAGATCGACGACCACCACCCGAAGAGGCCGGTTTCGGACAGTAGTCACTTTCCGTCGACGCCGCAGATCCGCTAGAAACCTTCCGGAAAGCTCATCACCTCGACATACGGTTCTACCGGAGTCGGATCCCGACCTAGCAACCCGACCCACTAAGGTCTATCCCAGCTTTTCCCAATTCTAGAATTCTCCGATTGACAACGCAGGGTGACTTCACCGGACCGGAGAACACCATACGTGGCGGATCCAGAGGTTGGTGGCTCACTCAGAGCCTCTGAAGACGAAAATCCACGCAAGCCAAGCAGATCCGGAAGGACTGCCGTTAACCACCGCATCACACAGCTAAACCCACCGTAACATCACCAACTTCCGCCATAGACACCGCAAAGGAAGAACGGCTGAGCCTTGAGGAACTTCGGAGCCCTCCACGGCGTCCTCAACCGGGAATCACGGCTGCAAAACTCCTCCTCCGTTAAACCAGTGCCGCATCTACATCGGCGACGAAAATCCTCACCACAGCTGACGATGAAGCAACCCTGCGCACTCCTGGATCACAATCAAGAAGACTCCAACCCTTCAATTAAGATCTGAAAGTTGGAAAAATAAAAACCCTAGATCTACTTTGTGTGTGTCTGCAGAGAGGAGAGAGAAGAGAGCAAGTTGGAACGATTGTCCTCTTTTTTGATCATATATTTTGTCCCCAAAAAAAAAAATGTTTGATCATAAGATAATGTCACTAAGATTATGGTACTGATTATCTTGTATTTTTTAATAGATTTTATTTCCAGTTCGATAGCCGTGTCTAGTCAACTGTCATGGATTCTTAATTAGATTCAGATATGCTACCATTTTTGCACTTTTCTTAGTCAGATTGATTATTAAACACCACCGTTAAGAAATTCTCAAATCGGAATGAACCATTTTTTTAAGTTGATAATGACTATCAAACAAGATCTACATACAGTATGTATTAATGTATTTATCTGCTCATTGAATTAGAGTTCGACACGTTGAAGAACCTACTTAGCGAAAGAAGAAAATGGAGAAAGTAGGCCAAGCAAAATTGGATGCCTCAAGATTTATCGCTTCTTGGTTGATCTACTTCTTGGTCGGGCCATGAGAGATGTGATGCTAAAAGAGCAAGAAACTTTGTTATATTTTTTCATTTTTGTAAATATATTGAATATCTAATTTTTTTGAATATCTAATTGTATGTACTTGTCCTCCCAATAATTTAGCAATTCGTAAACAAAAGATAACGTTTTTTGATCATAACAGAGCACACACAAATAGAAGAATTTTATTGTGTGAAAATATCATAAATAGGATATGAACATCATTTATAATAAATTTGATAACTTCCAAACCATTATCTGTTTTATTAATGTTTGTATGAACAAAAGTCATAATTTATTAAATATAATGTGTCTACTACCTGCCCTCATTTTTTTGCAGGTGGAAGGAGTTGTCAACAATTATGGTAAAAGTTTGTCAATTAGAGTCCAATATTACCAACTAAGCAAGCACCCTTCAAATCAAATGTATTTGGTAGTGACAGGTGAAGAATCTACGTGATTGTGAAATTTGCCATTCGTATCTGAAATCATAAGTAAGCATTTAAATAAATAGTTTGTATTAACAATAACATAACGACTCGTGCATAAATTTAAAGAAAATAACATAACGATTAACGAGTTAAGAAGAAAAAAAAGCCCATAAATTAAATGCAGAAGATGAAACTCTAATTGTTGTAAACCGTGAAAAAAAAAGAAGATGCAGTCCATCTTTCATGGAACTTGAAGTCAAGAGATAGAAGAAGCCCATTGATCTTGAGTTTCAAATTCCAAGACTTTTTTTGATTTCGTCATCCGTGACGTCATCAAACCATTAGTTATTTAAGAAAATTCTCTCGTGTGCTATATAGTTAGTTTAGTACCAATTCTTTACTCAGATCCCTTGTTCGTCAACTTCCTGAGAAGGACGCTAATGGCGAATCGATCGGAGGAAGCAGAGTACGAGAACGATTCTCGGAGAAATCACCAAGACAAGAAGAAAGAAGGAGTATTAGATCTGGTGTTGAAACGGCCTTTACGGTGGCTAAGAATGCTCGTTGAAGAGCTTCACTGGAGCTTCTTCTTCGGTGTCATTGTCGTCTATGGAGTTAGCCAAGGACTTGGTAAAGGTCTCAGCAAAGTCAGCACTCAGTACTACTTCAAAGACGAGCAGAAGATACAACCCTCTCAAGCTCAGATTTATGTTGGTTTGATTCAGATTCCTTGGATCATTAAACCTCTCTGGGGATTGTTGACTGATGTTGTCCCAGTTTGGGGTTACAGGAGACGACCCTATTTCGTATTCGCTGGTAATTTCACTCATCAAGCGAAAAAGTTAGTTGCTTTGGTTCTTGATATATCAAAGATGTAATCTTTTTTTTTTCTTGTTGTCTATTTGATTATAGGTGTTCTTGCTATGATTTCCATGATGGTTTTATGGCTTCACACGAATCTGCATCTTGCACTGGCTTTGTCCTGTCTTGTGGCAGGAAGTGCTGGAGTTGCTATAGCAGATGTAACCATTGATGCTTGTGTGACACAATGCAGCATAAGCCATCCTACACTTGCTGCAGATATGCAAAGTTTGTGTGGTTTGAGTTCATCCATTGGTTCCTTGGTTGGTTTCTCCCTTAGCGGCCTTTTGGTGCACTTGGTTGGGTCCAAGGTAGGCTCTTTAAAGCTCTCCTGGAATTCAGAGAGTCGAAATGCTTCAAGTGTTTTCCACTCATTTTGTCCTTTTTCTTGGCAGGGTGTGTACGGTTTACTCGGTGTGACTGCAGGATTGCTTGTTGTGGTTGGGATGGTTCTTAAAGAATCTCCTTCTCGCAGCCTAGGTCGCAAGCATGTACGTTTTTGCTACCCTTTGGTCCAGCCAGATTCTTTAAGCTAGTTAGTAATCCAGTAACTCTGCTTTCAGGTTAACGAGAAGTTTCTGGATGCTGGCAGTGCAATATGGAAAACCTTTCAATATGGTGAGGTGTGGCGACCATGCTTGTTCATGCTATTGTCAGCTGCAGTGAGCTTGCACATTCACGAAGGCATGTTCTATTGGTACACAGATGCAAAGGATGGTCCTTCCTTTTCAAAGGTGCTTTCACCTTTTGCATAAGCTCTAGAGCTGTAATTCACCTTCCATGGCCTTGCTTAAAACATTCGAGAACTCTCTGTGATGTTTTTGGCTAAGGTAGTTATTTTATGTTCCTTAGGAAGCCGTTGGATCCATTATGTCATTTGGTGCAATCGGCTCTCTCGTGGGCATACTTCTTTATCAGAACTTTCTGAAGAACTTCCCTTTCCGGAATGTCGTTTTCTGGGCACTTTCCCTATCTGTCCTGTCAGGATTTCTGGATTTGATCCTGGTGCTGCGCTTAAATCTGAAGCTTGGTGTCCCTGATTACTTCTTTATTGTGGTAGATGAGTTTGTTTCACATATGATAAGTAGAATCAAGTGGTTACCCTTACTTGTTCTCAGTTCCAAGCTCTGCCCTGCTGGTATGGAAGGCACTTTCTTTGCTTTGCTCATGTCTATTGAACATGTAGGACACCTAATGTCGTCATGGGGCGGAGGAGTATTACTCCATGCCCTGAAAGTCACGCGTACTCAGTTTGATAATCTCTGGTTGGTTATTGTGATCAGGAGTCTATTGAGGGTAATTCCAATTGGATTGGTCTTTTTGATACCAAATGTTGATTCAAACTCAACCATTCTCCCGGCTGAGATGTTAACAAACAGAAGAAGTGAAGGTGTTGATACCGAGAAGATAGAGATGACCGCTCTGATCAGTGATGAAGCTTGAGTTGAATCATTTTTGTTTTTAGGTACAGGAACATCAGATTCTTGAGAAAACCTATCAAGTGGATTCATTGGAATTCCAGGTTTAAGAAATCTCTCAAGTTTTCTTTCTCCGTTTATTGTTAGTTCTTATGGTTTAGATAATTTTCCTTCCTCGCAGAAGATCATCAAACATTTTTTGCTTACAATTCATCATTTGCTACTGCTATACCGATACAGACAGATATATTATAAGAATAGTGGGACAATTCAAATTGGCTTTGCCAAAGAGATGATTGGCTTTCATGATATTGAAGGGAACACACACAGGATATTAAGTTATGGTGTAGGCATGCAGTTTTCTCCTGCAATTCCTAGCCTCTCTTGTGTGGTATCATATATTACTCTCTGGTTTTTCTGCTGGTAATTTCCGATGATCCCGACTTCATTTTCGTATGACAGACTTGCAAAGGCCAAGCAGACTAGAGATGCATCAGGCTTGACAAAGTAGAACACACCAGTGACATCGATTTCGAGCTCAGCATTACCTTCGAAGATAATTTTGATTGTGGGAATGCTTATGTCTTCATAACTTGTGAGGTTAAAGCAAGTGTCTAAGATTGAATAACCAGGAGCTGAAGGAAACCCGGAAAACTGTTTCAGAAACTCTGTCTTCACAGCTTTGTAAATGGAAGGTGGCAATCTCGTGATGACCGTTCCTGAATCGATTAGAATCCCTCTACCAAAGCTTGAAGATTTCAGCTCCACGCCACCAATGCTAGCACCAGTGAGATTCAGAATGTAAAAGGAACGAAGCTGAGGGTTTTGTACTAGCGGGGTGTAGGAAACTGAAGTTGAATTCTTGTAAACGGAGGAATCATTACCGAATGACAATGTACCAGAAGCTCCATCCTCAAGAGAAGGTAGACAGTATGAGAACACTCCGTTGAAAGTTTTCAAAGTTTGGGAGACTAAAGAAACTGAGCTTCTGCCCAAACCCATTAGACCAGAGGCTCCCCCAAACAGACCTTTGTTGTTTCGGCCACAACCAAAGACAAGGTTTTCGAGTTTTGTGTCGCCTAATTTGATGCTTTCACTTGCCAAGTCTCCTCGAGTGTATGATCCATCTCCATAGCTGACAACGTACTCACAAGATGTCTTTACAACACCATTGTTACCTCCACACGGGCCTGAATTTCCGGTAGCTGCTACTAGGTCCTGACAAGTGGATGAGTTACAGAACACTGTCTTGTAAGAAGAAGAGACTGATGGGTCGTACAAAGGACCTTGTTGGTTGTAACAGGATCTGCAAGGCTGGCATTGGACCCAAGTCAAGTCACTTCCAGTGTCAACAATCAAACTCATGTTTTTCCCTCCTAATTCAACTGTAACGATGTAGTTCAAAGTCTCAAGTTTTATCCCTGAGGTTAACGGAATCTGAGTTTCGGAAACAGATTGTTCAGTGGTGCGAGAGGTCATTGCTTTGATTCTGAGTTGAAGTGACTGAACTCGAATGTTATCAAGAAGCAAGGCTCTTCTCATCTTCTTACCCCAATCTATAGTCTTTCCTGAGCAAAGTTCTCTATGTTTCATCTCCAATGCAGTGGAATCTCTTCCTTTTCCTAAGTTTTTCAAAACAGACTCATCAGTTTTTTATAAAGATAAACAGATCTTGTCTTCCATGGAAGAAAGAAGCTCAAGATTCTTCTATATGTTAACCTTTAGAAAAATAACTATACTAATCCCAATTTAAGGAAAAAGGATATTATAAAGTAGTGTAAAAGCTAATGACTTTAATTACGAGTTTATACAAAACTTGAGACTATTGCTAATCTAACCTTAAATCACGCCATTAAATATTAAACTAAAGCAAAAGGAACAGTATCTACAAGTCTCTGAGTTTCACTATGGTTGGTGAGCCTTTGAGGAAAACAAAACTTACCAAGACTTCGAGAGAAACATGAACTCGAAGCTTCATACGATTTCTTGGGAGACCAGATGTTGTTGTGTACACTGAGAATCTTCTTCTGGTCGACGCCATGAACAACACACGAGAGAAGGAAAATAAGAACAAGAAGCAAAGGAGCTAGTGAAAGATTCAATGGAAGATATGTTGCTTTTTTCAACATTTTCGTAAGGAGGATTGTCTTCAGAGGAAAAGAATAGGTGAGAGACGAGAGAGAGAAGGAGAAAGAGAGATTCTTGGGAAGTTTGGAGGTAGTGAAGAGAACAAAAGAAGAGAGGCTGGCGAGAAGTGGCAAAGGAGAAAAAAAAAATAGGACCCCACTATGTGTGCATGAGAAAATTATTGGGGATTCACGTGAATTACTGCAACTTTGTTACCAAAACTAAAGATTTACAATGTCCTTTTGGTGGTTTTAGTATAGGATCAATTTGTTTTTGTTAAAATAAAAACAAAATTCAATGTGTGGATGGTGGTGCTACTTCTGTTAATTTTTACAGTGTTGGCCGCTAGTGCAAGTGGAGGGTTTCAAGTTCTCAACATTTTTTAAAAATCTTTGTATACGCAGTATAGTTCTTGTAATTAACAAAGATGGTATAACGATATTCTATAGCTAAATGTTACAGCAGAATCTTATAGATATTTTACCATATTCTTCTATATACAACTTGATGTTATAAACTCATATATAACATTCAGTAAATACCATATTTTGGTCAGATTATTTATTTATTTATCTAAGTGTTTTGTTGGAGAAAATGTTAAGCTCTTTTTACTGTTGAATCCAAGACGGTCCCTCCTCGCTCGTCCTAATGAGCCGGCGCTGATAATTTTGTTTCACAATGGTTTCAAACAAAAGAAAAACATCGTTTCATAATGATTACGAAGTTATAATCATAATCATAATAATCATTATGATTGTTTCATAATGATTACTGTTATAGACCACTGAATAAGGTCATTGACATGCCCAAGAAAAAAAGACAAATGACATTTGATTTGAATATATGCGTCGCAATATATGCTTCTGATTGGTTTTCAACAAAGAACAAACAAATACAGAAGAAAAGACTACTCAGCATCGCAGGGAATCAAACTGTCGCAACTTCCACTTTTGTTTTTAGGTTGTCTGAGAAAAAACAGTAAGCATTTATTAACTAAGGTTTTTGCTGGTAACTCTTATTAAAATTATTTTCTTTTACCTACCATGACCACTTACATGTAAAATTTAATCTTAACATTGTATTCACTAGATTTCAGTCATGGATTATGGATATTCATATATAAATCATGGTGATATATACTAACTTTTGATGGAGGTTGCATAGCTATGATTATGTCTTGGACTCTGCAAACTTCAAATTATAAACTTAAGACAGTTGATTGTTAATTTTCCAAGTCTTATTTCTCGATAAAAGTAATAGAAAGACTTCTATTAAGAGATAAAACAAAACAAATGATTAATCCTTTTTTTTTTTACAAATGATTAATCTTGCTATTGAGTTGAAAGGAACATGCCTTGTGATTTTGCGTACGGTTCTCTATTATAAGGAGGGCAAGTTGGTACGTGATTTGATTTGCTCCACTAAAGAGAGAGTAAAAGCATTGAAGGGCATCGGTTTGGTGACTTTGGTCCGACCACTTAATTCACTTGTTTCAAACTTATATTGAATTTCTTTCTCTAACTTGTTTCCATCCGACATGGCTACATGGGATGGTTGACTTCAAATAAGTTGAATGATTATTCATCTCGTTTCTACCATTTAAAATAAATAAATAAAAAAATTGATTTAATCCATTCAACAAAAAAATGTTCGAAATATGAACAAATTATAAAGAAGTCAACTCATTCATCTATTATAACTCGAAGATAAATAAGTTGAATGATATTCAATTTTTTTTTGTTCAACTCAGTTTTTTCAATCATTCTTCTACATGCAAACAATTAATCGAAATGAATCAAAATTATCTTTACGTATATTAATTTAATATTATTTTGTATAAATTTTATGAAAAACAAAATTATGCTTCAAACTTTTTAGTTTTTACATTTTCATTGTATCACTAACTTATACCTTTACCTTATTTCTATATATTCTACTAGAGTTTCTCATCGCATATATGGGTGCATCAATCTGAAAAAATATTATCGAAGAAGATAAATAGTTATTATATAACAAAAAAAAAAGAGAAGAAGATAAATATGTATAACGCAATTTATATCCAAACCAAATCAAATAAGGGATTTTCCGTTTGGATAAGAAAAAACATCTACAAGAACGAAAACAAGACGAAATAAGATGGAGAAATATAAGGAAAATATCATTGACATTATCTGGAAAATAAAAATCGTGGTCCGTTTTTTACTTTTTTTGTTCAAACAAATCCATCTGACGGTTAAGATAGAAGAGCGTATAATAAGTTAACATGGACCTTGATCCACAGGATTAAAACACTTGTTTTAGTTTCATGTTTACCTTTTACGGCGAATCTACGTGTGCGCGAAAGCTGAAATCTTCACGGGAAATCTAGAGACGACGAGGAAAAAAGGATGACACTTTCTTCAGATCCGCGATCTATTTTATCATCCAAACATTACACGAACCCACTCTTCCTTGTGTGATTCAATATCTGAAACCTCTCTCTTTTTCTTAAAAAAACAAAAAAGATTAGATTTTTAGGTTAGGTGAAACGAACAATAATGGAATCAGAGCTCAAAGATTTGAATTCGAATCCTCCGTCGAGCAAAGAGGAAAGGCCGTTACTGAAATCAGATTCCGATTTGGCGGCTGCCATTGAAGAGTTAGACAAAAAGTTCGCACCTTACGCGAGGACCGATTTGTATGGGACCATGGGTTTGGGTCCTTTTCCGATGACGGAGAAGATTAAGTTGGCGGTTGCATTGGTGACGCTTGTTCCTTTGCGGTTTATTCTCTCGATGAGCATCTTGCTTCTGTACTACTTGATTTGTAGGGTATTTACGCTCTTTTCTGCTCCTTATCGTGGGGCAGAGGAAGAGGAAGACGAAGGTGGTGTTGTTGTTCAGGAAGATTATGCTCACATGGAAGGATGGAAACGGACTGTTATCGTGCGCTCTGGGAGGTTTCTCTCTAGGGTTTTGCTTTTCGTTTTTGGGTTTTATTGGATTCACGAGAGCCGTCCAGATCGAGATTCAGACATGGATTCCAATCATAAAACTACTTCTACAGAGGTATAAGCTTAGCTAAGTCTCTTATAAACCAGCTAAAGTTTTTGCTTCCGTTTGTTTATTGTGTTTGTATTTGATAGTGTTGGAGGATTTTCTACGTTTGGATAGTTAGTTAATAAGAAACTTTAAAGTGTCAGACTTTGTTGTACGAAGATATAGTTTTGGGGCAGTTTATTGGTAGGATTCTAGCTTGGTACGACGATTTTGCTCAAAGGAGTAGTTAGGTTGCTGTACAATTTATTAAGATCGTCCTTATTTGGGACCTCTTTTTTGCTGAAATTGATTTAAGGTTTAGTTCCCACTGATGGCTTGGCGTTTGTCTTTTATCTTCATTTGTTCTGTCTTTTGGCTGCAGATTAACCAGAAAGGGGAAGCCGCCACGGAGGAACCTGAAAGACCTGGAGCCATTGTGTCCAATCACGTTTCGTACTTGGACATTTTGTATCATATGTCTGCTTCTTTTCCAAGTTTTGTTGCCAAGGTTAGTTGATAGAAATAGGCTATATTATCATAGCTCTGTTAAACTACTGTCTGAAGTTCACATTTTGGGTATTCTATAATGGCAATGACATTAACATTTATTTGTCTGTTCTCCCTCATGATTTTGATTTTCTGAAGAGATCAGTGGGCAAACTTCCTCTTGTTGGCCTCATTAGGTTAGTTGTGAATGACTTATCTAAGTTCTTGAAACAATCTTTGTATCTCATCACAACGTGAAAGTGTCCTTGTTTCTGTTATTCGTTTGTATCTTCCATATCAAACTTAGTTATAACTCGTTTCTTTTTTGTCTGACAGCAAATGCCTTGGTTGTGTCTATGTTCAACGAGAAGCAAAATCGCCTGATTTCAAGGGTGTATCTGGTATGTGATGCTTACAAAAAAGGATAAATCTTAAAAATCTTCAGCTAGTGTTTTCTTTTCTAGTTTTTTTAACTTCCTTTGTTACCACTTTGCGTTATCTGATAGTTAGAAATTTATGAACCGAATCCTCTGTAAATCTCTAATGCTACTCTAAATAGTCTTCATATGGTATATCTAACCGCTGTTTTAATCTTTACAGGCACAGTGAATGAAAGAGTTCGAGAAGCACATAGGAATAAATCTGCTCCAACTATTATGCTTTTTCCAGGTTCAGTATTGCTCTCACAATCGATTTATCGACCAACCCATCATTGATTCCTTACAACTGTTATTTGGTCTCACCGCAGAAGGAACAACGACCAATGGAGACTACTTACTTACATTCAAGACAGGTGCATTTTTGGCTGGAATTCCTGTCCTTCCGGTAATTTTAAAATATCCGTACGAGCGCTTCAGTGTGGCATGGGATACAATATCCGGGGTGAGTATTCATTCATCTTTAAAAAATTCCGGTTTTCTCAGAAGTTTCCGTTTTAAAAATCTGCTTTGCATTAGTAGAGTTTTAAGAGTCATGTTTCTTGTTTTCTAGGCACGCCACATTTTATTCCTTCTCTGTCAATTCGTAAATCACTTGGAAGTCATACGGTTACCTGTATACTACCCATCCCAAGAAGAGAAAGATGATCCCAAACTTTATGCTAGCAATGTTCGGAGATTAATGGCCACCGAGGTATTTGCTTTTAAACACAGTAAAACTAGAGCTGTATATATAATTTTGGCTGGTGTGTTATTACTTACCAACGCTTGGCTCTACTTTTCTTCTTGTTACTTGCAGGGTAACTTGATTCTATCGGAGTTGGGACTTAGCGACAAAAGGATATATCACGCAACTCTCAATGGTAATCTTAGTCAAACCCGTGATTTCCATCAGAAAGAAGAATGAAATTTTACTGGCCTGACAATGTTTGTAATGTAGTAGTCTTTACCAAAAATAACCATGACCATGATTGAATAATGGTTCTTGTGATGATAATAAAAACCAAAAGTTTGATTACACAACACAACTCGAGCTCTTTATTGGTGTCCTTTTTAGCTATTGTGTTATAGTGAGTTTTCAAAAAATCAGAAAAGAAGCTGTGGCTGGGATGGAAAGTTTGGGCATGTAAATCTGAAGCATCTCTTTCATGTTCGTGCAGGTTTGTTTTGCAAAAGCTAATATGGACACTCGAAATTCGTGGTCTGAATATTTCATTTATTCATAGGAGAAGGAAACAACACGTTTAACACAACTTTAGTAGTATACACTGAACATATCTCATTTCTGAAATTTGTATTTTTTTGCCTCTGTTTCTTGCTGAAGCAACACACACACACACCAAATGGTTCTTCATCCTTGGAAGAACTTCAATGATTCAATCAAATGCCAGGTTCAAATCTTGCAGGAGAACTCAGAACTTAGAATATATAATGTTCTTGATATGTAATTGTTCTAACACAAGGGAACAACAGTAGCTTAACCAAATAATACATGGTAAAGCTTCTTTCTTTTCTTCCTTCTTATGGACGAGACAAATCTACAAAAGAATAAACAAACAGAGCACAGCTATTATAGGTGGGACATAAGTTTGATGAAAACTAGCTTAGGGTTCTTCAGCTCCTTCTTCTTCATCTTCTTGTATCATGTTGACAAGCATATCGACTTGCTCTTTCAACATTGTGTTCTCTCTTTCAATCTCTGTTCTCTTGCTTCTTTCTTGTAGCAGCTGAAGTTGAAGATGCTCTAAGCACCGTGAATCCTCTTCTAGCTGCTCGTTTAACCCATCTATCTCTCGATCCTGTCACAATCCCTAAATCAAAGATCCCCAACAACAGCAAAACACCAGCAAAAATGTGCATTGTGTATAGCTTGTTTTACCTTTCTGTTCATTTCTTGGACAGCGATTCTTCGCATGCTCTCAACTACATCAACATTCACTAGTTTCCTCTTCTTACCGATCAACCAGCCTTTCGGGTAGTTTGCAGTCTCGAAATCCGGCGGTGGCAACAATGAATCAGCCGCTGTTGGTCGCTTTCCGTTCAAGTTCGTAATGGGTTCAAGTGGCTCGAACAGAGCTTTCCTTTTCTCAGACAGAAGAGGAGTTGTGGTCGTTGGTTCCCCAACTTTGTCGGTCTCCATTGCTGTTATCTCGTTCTTCTCTGGTGTGACCTCCATAACAACCTCCGGTGCCTTGTCTGGGTTCGCCGATGCTGCAACCAAAATAGTTAATGCTATGAGTTCCAAACTCACATGCAAACGGATCAGATCAAAACTAAAGTTGTAAAGTCATTGATTTTCCAAGCTAAAGCTCCATGTCTAGAGATATCTGTGCAAAGACTTTGAGGAGACATGGAGCTAAATTTCAAGCTCAGACTGCTTAAACAAAGCCCAAATCTTTCAGACCAGAAATAGAAAAGGTAGCTAATAAAAGTCTAGAATCTTTGACGATGGTCTGAGAAAACAAGAAACAGTGGAAAAAACCTGATCTTTTTCTTGACTTCCACGCGATCTTGGTGGTAGAGACAGGGAAAAAACCTCCGACAAACCCATCATCACTCACTGTCTTCTTCTCTCTCTCAAATCCAATCCCTTTCTCCATCTAATCTGAAAATTTGCCAGAAATTAAAACCCCACACACGATTATGGAGAAAGAGAGAAGTTGAAGAGTAAGGGGAAAAAGAAGAAGATAACGTACAAGGGATCGAAATTCCAAGAAAAGAGGCTCTCTGTAAGATTTCAGTTGAACGGTAATGATTTGGCGTTTTGGTTACGACTACCAAAGGCTTTTGCTTTCTGCTTCAGCATCAGAACTTGTGAATTGTTTTTTTAATTCTTTATTAAAAAAATTAAAAATTTAGAAGTCGAAAATAGTTGTCTTATCGTATTCTTTGAATGTGGGACCCTTTCCTTCTTTATTCCTTAGCTAAATTTTCATGCATCCTTTAATCTCCCCGGATTAAATCAATTGATTAAAACACTTTTTTTTTTACTACATTATATTAGTAATCAATGACCGACTGAAGAGACTTATTCAAAATAATGTCATATTGTCATTTGATTTGGTCAGAGTACTAAAATAATAAGAAATTAAGTTTTCCATTTCCACGTAGCTAAGAAAAAAATATTAAGGCACAAGTTATTTTTGAAATAGATTAACAGTACTATATTTTTGTTGAGTGTTTTTTTTTTTTGGGTCAACTTTAAAACAAGAATAAATTTTGGAATTTGCTGAGAGCAGATGCCACGAACCAGAGCATCTTTCTTGAAGTTAGTAATTCTTGGAATGAGCGTCGGTCTTATTACAATATTGGAAATATTCGAATTTAATTCTTGAAATAAAATGTACTCTTGGGCTCAGTTGTACTAGTTATAACTATAAACCGTCATCTAAATTTGGGCCTTGACCCATTAGGCTTTTATTTTCTTTTTCATACCCAAAATTAAGATCAAATCAATGAAAGGAAATCGTGCCGAGCCGCGTAACATACAACAAAACCCAAATCGAAAAGGTTTTCTTTGTTCCCCAATTCAGATCTTAGCGACAACCTCGGTAGGTTTTTAGTTTTTACCAATAAACGAAGCTAACCATCGAATGTTTCTAATCGAATTTAAATATTTTCAATGTTGAAGATTATTATTGGTTACAAGTAATTACATTAATCTCAATTTTTTTTATCTTTTCTTCTGGTTACAAGAATTGGTCAAAATAATTAGCAGATTTTATTGGGCTTTAGTCAAAACTTTTTTGGGGGCTATCTCGTGCCTCTCAATTCTGAAACATGTTAGGAAAAGATACAACGATTGAAATGGCCTTGACCCAATGGGCTTATAATTCCTTGAAATTAAGATTATACTAAGTATGTAGACATTGTGCCGTTTTGAGAATCGATAAAAGGACATCGTGTCGGCGAAAGAGCGCCATCACACAAAAACCCAAATCGAAGCAGATTTTTGTTTGGCCAGTCTATAACACTTTTGCTCGCCGATTTCCAGATCTCAAGTAGGGTTCTTGTTACAGGTTTCGGATCTTTGGATAGGCCTAGGAGAGTTTTTTATCTGTTAATCGATAAAGGTTCTTACTTTATCTCTGGTAATTCGTAGTTGTGTTGTTTGTACTATTTTCTCATACATGGGTAGGCACGAATACGATAGTTCCTTGGAGGAAGAAGAGAGAGCTAGAAGAAGGGATAGGAGAAGACGAGAGAGAAGCCCAGATGTTAGACGATCTAGGACGGAGACAGATGATGTTGCTCGTCGTGTTAGGGTTTCTGATGATGAGGACCATAAGAGCTCGCGACGAGATCTTGAGATTGGTGGTGGTGAGAGGCGCCGTGGAGATAAGGTTAGAAAAGAGACTTCTTCCGATGAGGAAATAGCCAGGCGGTCGAGAAAGGATCGGAAAGAAGTAAACTCTGGTTCTGAGGATGATAGAGGTAAAAAAATTGAGGTAGATAGTGATGCTGATGGTGAGAGGAGGGTGAGTAAGGGGAAAAATAAGGATAGAGTTAGAGCTGACACTTCTTCTGATGAACAAGAAGATGATTCGAAGGGGAATAAAAAGGAAACTATGGAGGTTGAAGATGATTACGGTAGGAGTGGAAGGAGGAGAAGCCCTAAAGTCATGGAGAAACATGGTAGAGAGAGGAGTCATAGGGGTAGTAGAGTTATAGCTGATAAACCTTCTGATGAAGAAGATGATAGGCAGAGGAGCAGGGGAGGTAGGCGTGAAAGCGAGAGGAAGCGCAGGGATCATCGAGCATCTGACGACGACGAGGAAGGTGAGATAAGGAGTGAGAGAAAAGGAAAAGAGAGGAATGATAGAGGTAATGAAGGTCTCTTAAAGAGGGATCGGAGGGAGAGAGACTTGACTGATGGGCATGAGAATGGGAGTCGGCGTAGGGAAATTGAAAGGAAAGATAGGAGTCGGAGGGACGATGGAGTTAGAGATGAAAAAGAAAGGAGACACAATGATAGATATGATGATAGTCAAAGAGACAAGGTGAGAAAGGAAGATAGCAGGAAAAGGGAAGAGAAGATTGAGGTTCCAAAGCCCAAGCTGGCAGAACTCAATCCATCTGAGAACAATGCTATGGCCTTGGGAAAAACAGGAGGAGTTTATATTCCTCCGTTCAAGCTAGCACGCATGATGAAGGAGGTGGAAGATAAGAGCAGCGTAGAGTATCAACGGCTTACATGGGATGCTCTCCGTAAAAGTATTAATGGGCTCGTGAATAAGGTTAATGCAAGCAACATCAAGAACATAATCCCTGAACTGTTTGCTGAAAATCTCATCAGAGGAAGGGGACTTTTCTGCCGTTCATGTATGAAGTCTCAAATGGCATCTCCTGGATTCACTGATGTCTTTGCAGCCTTAGTCGCTGTTATTAATGCCAAATTCCCTGAAGTTGCTGAACTTCTATTGAAAAGGGTCGTTTTGCAGCTAAAGAGAGCGTATAAGCGTAACGACAAGGTTTGTCTTTTTTTGCTGTCCGAATCTAAAACTTTTTAAAAGCATTTTGATTAATATATATATCATATTTATACATTGTTATGTATCATATTTGTTATGGCAGCCTCAATTGCTTGCTGCTGTAAAATTTATAGCGCATCTAGTAAACCAGCAAGTCGCTGAGGAGATCATAGCACTTGAATTAGTCGAGGTACTTCTGGATGAGCCGACTGATGACAGTGTCGAGGTGGCTGTTGGGTTTGTGAGGGATTGTGGTGCGATGCTTCAAGACGTTACACCAAAAGGATTGAATGGTAAAAATCCTTTCAGCCTCTCTTTTTATTGGATAGAAATCTTGTTTTGATATGTTGAAGAAACATTAGACTATTTGTATTTACACTTAATCCATCATATTCTTTCACCAATGACTATTGACATACATTGGTATGATAATCTAGTTCTTTTGGAAAAAGATGATGTTGAAATTTGGTTGTGTGTCTTAGCTGTTTCATTTCAAACTTCAACAGTTTTTCATGGCATACATACATGCTCTATATTTCCACGGCTCTTCCTTTTATTTGCATTTCTAAGCTCTTCCATCTGTTAATACAGGGATTTTTGAGCGGTTTCGTGGTATACTGCACGAGGGAGAGATAGATAAGAGAGTTCAGTATTTGATAGAAAGTCTCCATGCTACTAGGAAGGCGAAATTTCAGGTAATATACTCCTTGACACATTGAATTCGAATCTGATATTATGGGTTTTGATAGATGTAACAGTATGCTTATTGTCACGGATAGCATAATGCTCATAAAATCTTGTTGATGGTTTACTTTCAGGGATATCCGGCCGTTCGTCCTGAGCTAGATCTTGTTGAAGAAAAATATTCGCACGATATCTCTCTTAATCAGGAAATTGATCCTGAAACTGCTCTTGGTAAGCTTGGTATTGTATTTTAAAATTTACTCCATGCTCTAGAGATAGGTTACTATTTTGGAATTACTGAAACTGCTCTTAATTCTACATTTTTCTGATTGCAGATGTTTTCAAACCTGATCCTGACTTCGTTGAGAACGAAAAGAAATATGAGGCTCTGAAGAAAGAGTTACTCGGTGACGAGGAGTCTGAGGATGACGATGGCTCTGATGCTAGTTCAGAAGATAACGATGAGGAGGAAGATGAATCTGATGAAGAAGATGAAGAACAAATGAGAATAAGAGACGAGACAGAGACTAATCTTGTTAATCTTAGGAGGACAATCTACCTGACCATAATGTCCAGTGTTGATTTTGAGGAAGCAGGTCACAAATTACTTAAAATTAAGCTTGAACCAGGTCAAGAGGTAAATTTCTGATACTCTATGTTTTTGTTTTGTTTTACTGTTTGATGTTGCAATGAAACCTTCTTAAAGTTTGTGACTTGCTGGAAGTACACAAGTCTTATAACATTCTTATCCAATCAATGTTGCAGATGGAACTATGCATAATGCTCCTGGAATGTTGCTCTCAGGAGAGAACTTATCTGCGTTACTATGGATTGTTGGGTCAGCGTTTCTGTATGATCAACAAAATTCATCAAGAGAATTTTGAGAAATGCTTTGTTCAGCAGTATTCCATGATTCATCGTCTGGAGACAAACAAATTGCGTAACGTGGCTAAGTTTTTTGCCCATTTACTGGGCACAGATGCTCTCCCCTGGCATGTGCTTGCCTACATTCGGTTAACCGAGGAGGACACAACTTCCTCATCTCGTATCTTCATTAAGATCCTATTCCAGGTAACTAGAATTCTTAAAACTCATTTCACCATTCCATGAAACTCATTTTACCATTTCAGAGCTTTTCATCTCATTAGTTTGATTGGTGATAGGTTGATGTGATTGATTAATTTCTTCTTTCATATGGAATTATGAAACTTTGGATATATTACTTTACAATTAGGACTCTGCTTATGAATTTTTTATAGGTGTGGAAATTGGTTTTGAGACTATTGTGTGATTTGGTGTTACAACTTTTGCATTGATTGCAGGAATTGTCAGAACACTTGGGGATCAGGCTGCTTAATGAGAGGCTTCAGGATCCAACAATGCAGGAATCACTTGAATCTATCTTCCCTAAGGATAATCCAAAGAACACGAGGTTTGCAATCAACTTCTTTACATCCATTGGTCTTGGAGGCATCACAGAGAATCTCAGAGAGTATCTGAAGAACATGCCAAGCCTCATCATGCAACAGCAGAAGCAAGTTGCGGAATCAGAATCAGGATCATCATCTGGATCAGACAGTTCTGGTTCCGAGTCTGAATCTGAGTCAGACTCATCATCTTCTTCTAGTTCGGATGAAAGCGACAGAGAGAAGAGGAAGCGAAGAAGAAGATCTTGAAGACTGTTTTGTTTGTTATCTCCATCAAATATCTTGAAATTTTCCCATCTTGTTTTGGTAATTCAACTTGAATTTTCATGAGAACTAACTGAGCAATCATCTGGTGCTGTTCTTGCATATCAATTACGTAATAACCTGATGACAAGAGTCTAGCTACGCTAGACAATGGAGGTTGTGAACGGAAATGTTTTTGTTTGTGTTGTTGTCTTAAAATTTTAAAGACATTTATATATACAGTAATTTGCTATGGATTTTATGGAAAATTAGCTAAGTTCTATATAATAGCTTTGTATTAAATGTAATATCAATTTTATTGAACTGTTTAAGATAAATTTGATCGATAGGTCCGTAGATTTATATTTTGTGATCCAAATTTATTTGCGTGTTTGGATGGGAATCATGAGATATTTTAAATGGTGAAAAGCATCAAATTGCCAAGGAATCTTTTTTTTGGTATATTTGTTCTTCAAATGATTTTGGTTTTTGGATAAGAACGGATATTATTATCGGTCTTTCTTTCTGATTTCAAAGTCAAAATATCACCATTTTATAAACAAATCTCTGCAAAAATTATTTCTTCAAAGTATACTATGGTGAAAAGCTTCCCAATTCTACTAATGGTTTTTACTTTTATTTTTAAAAATAAAATATTTCTGGTGCTCTTAGTTTAGTGTTAATTCTACCCACAGTATCTAAAACATACTTAATTAGTAAAGAAAACTGAATTGTACTTAACTACAACTTTAAACACATGCCAAGTACCAACCTATCAACCAATTCCTTCGTCTTTCACATTTCGTTAACCCACACCAGAATTTAGACCTCAATACAGTAGATGTTTTTTTAAAAATTTATTTTTGGAAAATAATATTAAAATTTTTAAACATAATAACAAAAAAGTAGGAATGGATAACTTTTTTAATCTGTAGTAGATTAAAAATAGTAAAAAAAAAAACATTTTGGCCGGGGAAAGCGGTAGCGTTATGGATAAGGACACTTTGAGATGAGTCACCGTTTCCTTTCTTTATAAATAAATCCCGCTTCTCTCTTTATCCAATTCATTAAATCCTAAATCCATTATTGAACCCCAAAAAAAAAAAAACTCTCCTTTATTCACTTTCTATTACAAAATCATAATCTTCTCTGAGTTTTCTCTTTGATTCCATTTTGTGAACCACACGAGCAAAAAAAATGACAATTGCTTTAACGATCGGAGGAAACGGGTTCTCGGGTCTACCCGGATCGTCGTTTTCATCATCATCTTCATCGTTTCGATTAAAAAACAGCAGAAGAAAGAACACGAAGATGCTCAACAGATCAAAAGTCGTTTGTTCTTCTTCATCTTCTGTAATGGATCCGTATAAAACCCTTAAGATCCGACCCGATTCGTCTGAATACGAGGTCAAGAAAGCTTTCAGACAACTCGCTAAAAAGGTTTGACCTTCTTTTTCTTAAGCTCCATCATTTTAGATCTGATGAACCTTGTTTCAAAAAGATTCGATTTTGGTTATCTGGGTTTCTTAAAAAGTTGATATTTTTCTGATCGATTTTGTTTTTGATTGTTGCAGTATCATCCTGATGTTTGTAGAGGAAGCAATTGTGGGGTTCAGTTTCAGACAATTAACGAAGCTTACGATGTAAGCGTGTGTTTATGAAAGCAACTATGCTTTTTGGTTAACTTATAAACAGATTTAAATTCGCTTTTGTAATGAAAAATTGATCTCTTTTTTTTTTTCTTTCTTTTTTGAAGATTGTGTTGAAGCAAATAAAGAATCAGATGGAAGGGACGGAGGAATTTGAGCCGTTCGATGTATACGATGAGGGATTGAACGGAATGAATGATCCAGATTGCGACACGTGGGAAGAATGGATGGGATGGGAGGGAGCAGGGACCCGTGACTACTCGTCTCATGTTAATCCTTACGCTTGAAAACGAATGATTTCACTAATTAATTTCGAAATCATCCAAAATGTGTTATGTATATAAATAACAATCAGAGAGAGACTAAAAAGCACAACAATGTAAATAGGTGAAAAATTGTCTCATTTAATGATTGCTTAAATGTGAATAAAGTAATTTCTCCTCCTCCGTGTAAATCTCAAACATTCAGGATTTAAAGCATTTTTAGCTTTCCTGAATTTGCAAGTAATCTTTTAAGATTATGGGAAGGTTTATTTGACTTCTTCAAACCGACAAGGGTCAAGTCACACGTTTGCTTTTAGATGTAGACAAAAGTCACCAAATTCTCATTCTTTGTAACGGTTTCTTTATATTTTTATAATGAAAATCTAAACATTTCAAAATACTTCCAACAACACTTTCCTTCTATCAAAACAAACAATTGCAGAATCTAATCCATGGAGAATGCTCCGCTGCAGTACCTGAAGAAGTTGGCAATATCATTTCGTTTTTTTTTATTTGGAAATCAAATTCATGGATTACTACTTTTTAGTAGTAGGAACTAAAAAGGTTTACCTGTTGCTGAATCTTTGGACAGAGTCTGTAGCATCAAGAAGAGTTTCACTTGCTTTCTCTAAAGCCATGTAAAGCTCTTTACCTCTGTTTAGACGCGCAATGACCCACGTGTTGTTCTTCGCTCGAATGCATATTTCCATGTCTTTCTCTTGCTTCGAGCGGCCCTTTTCTGTATCCACTTCTTCCCTTAGCTTGTTTAGTGCAAGCAAAGACTCCTACGAAATCAGAGACAATTTTGTAAATTTGATACACTCTTGGTTATGCTACTCACAGAGGTCGCAGTATATAAATATGATTAATGGGAGTTCTCTCACCTTTGCTAGAGTTGCAACCTTTCCTGGCGGAGAAGCTCTAGAAACTTCCATGTCATTATCAACTAGTAAGTAACGGTAACCGCTTACATGGTAAGCGTTCTCACCGCCCCACCCTTTCGATAGCTTCTCTTCGACTTTCAAGATTTTTGCCGATGCCTGCAAAAATGCATAGAGATGATAAGGGATGGAGTCTGAAAAGATTTTACAATGAAGCAAGAGAGGTTTACAGAGGTGAGCTAACGTTTTCAATAACTTGCTGCTTCACGAATGAGATGTCTAGCTCTCCATTAACAATTGCAGCGGTAGGCACGAGAAGAACCAAGGTCAGACTTTTGTATTGATATGTCAAAAGGTAAAATCTTTCCTGTGTCTTCTGTATCAAAATTGTCGGTGTGGCATCTATACCCCAAATATCAGTTACAAGAAACCCGTCTTTCCCTTTCGACCACTTATCGTGCTGCAAGGGTCTAATAACACGACCTGTGCTACTACCATTTCCTGAAGGCAATGTACCACCTGAACCAAGAGGGAGCACTGAGGTAGATCTAGAAGATATTTGAGGTGTCACGGATCCCTTGCGTAGATATGACCAGGAACTTGTGCCAGAGGATAGTGCGTTTGTGGTCAATCTCATGACAGAAAATGCAAACACGTCGACGGTATCATCCTGTCAAAAGAGAGATAGAGAGAGATGATATAGTCTACACTTTTAGTATTAGTGGAAAATATAGATTACACAGACCACAACAATTTAAGAATCTTAACGACTCAACAATCTTGGCTAAAATGAATATTGTGAGTGGGGGATTTGAAAACATACAGGTGAGAGAGTTGTTGACACCAGTAGATCATGAAATAGAATCACAGAGTGGCATCGAACGGTCCCAGCACATGAATCTAGCACTCCGACAAGAGACTGTACATCTAAATAAATAGTAGTCAAAATAGTGAACTATTGTTGTATTGCGAAACAGATCTTCTGACGGAGAAACAAACCTGAACTTCAAGTGCTGCATCTCTTGCTAAAGTTAGCATTTGAACTGTTCCACGCTCTGTCAAAGTTTCACGGAAGGAAGGTAACTGATGTTTCTTACCAACAAAAAGATCTGCGCCAAAATAGAAAACCTTTTGAAAAGTGCTATTACACAGGGAGTTTATGGGCTAGACTTGGTGGATATTGCTTACCATTTAAATAGTCTGTGATGAATGGATACAAGTGCGATCTTATAAGTCCTCCAGTTGGTTCTTTCTCAAGCAATGCCCTAATTGACCCTTGAAACATAACAAAGAGAGAGTGTACTTCCTTAAGAACTCTCCGCAATGCATCAATCCTCCATACAGCTTCAATCTCCTTATTTTTCTCTACAACCTACCAAAGTCTAAATCAAATTTTGTTCTCTTTATGCATATGAATAAAGTACGAATTAAGTGCTAAAACAAGTGAAAGAGTTGGTAATGCTGTACCATGACCATCCAGATATCGGGCTCGGCCTCATAGAAAACATGGGAATGTCTCTCTGCTTCAATTACCTCACATGCTGCGTCCGGGGAGAAAAGTCTGCATTTATATTCCATAAACCACATCTCAGAAACAACCAAAAATACAGGCAAAGCTAATAACGCTCAAAATTTATATGAACATGAGACAACACCAATCAATCCATGAGCTTGAACATCTCTGTAAAGAAGGAAAATCTCTATTAGCTAACCTGGTGAACGTGATAAGCCCTTCGCTGAGCCCGATAACGGATAGCTGAGTCGAGAAGGTAAGATCAGGAGGATAGAAGAACAAGATCTTGTCGAGTTCTTGTCCTTCGTGTTGGCCTCTTCTTAAGTCAAACACGCAAAGACGAAGGCTTTCACTACCAGAGCTCATGGACGCCATTCCCATAGCTTCTAAGAGCTCATTAACCACCCCTAAAGCACACAAAAATGTGTATCGGAAATTAGGCAATAAAACTAACTCTGTATCTGAAATATATAATTTTAAGGCACATCATCACCGTAGAACCCTAAAATTTACGGTTTTGGGGGTTCAGATCATTGCAAAGTGATCACTTTCGTCCAGAAAATTGCGTAATCCATATAAATTGATTACCTTTGAGGATGAACCCTAAGAACAAAGTCCAAGGAGTGATCGGCCTTCAATTAGTTCAACAACGAGAATCAAAAAGTTGATTTCTGATGATTGTGGACTCAGATCTACCAATCAAAACTCGAACCGATCACAAAAAATTTAGCAGCGTAGCGTCAGGTAGGTGGTGAGAGGAAACGAGGTAAACGGGTCGATAAAGTTACCGGGTTTAGGATCTAAAATGGACTCGGGTCGTAGAGGATCTTCAGATTCTCATCGGCTTACGTCATCCATTGTCTTTTCCAATGATTCTCTTATTTTTATTTTTTCTAATGGCACGTTGTTGTCACCTATACTCGAATAATTTGATTTTGTCTCCTCAGAATAATAATACCTAAACCGGTTATAGTAACATTTGACATATCATTCTCTTATTTAATCGTCACGCTTGGATCAAATAATTGGATTATTAGTACGATACTAAATACTAATTGAATTAATGCATTAAATATTTAATTAAAGAGCACTTTATAAGAGAAGTTGTGTTAAACCGATAAATTAGAGCCTAAACCAATATAAATTAGTTAAGAATCGGTTTGCATTTCGGTTTGAAACCTCTCTTCTACATGATTTTTTTTCCGTCCACAAAGGGCCAAACCGCAAAAAAAGTTATAACTTTTGCTTCTTCTTCGCATTCACTCAAACAAAGTAGAAGACGGAATCCAGCCCAGTCACTTCCGAAATCCCCCTTTCGTTAGGGTTCGGAGATTGTTTATTGGAGGTGTTTGTTGATTTTTTTTTCTTCTGTACAATTTCCGACCTTTTGGTATATTTTTCTCTGTTTTATTGTTTTGGGACGATCCATCTGATTTTGTGGCATTTAGACCGAGGAAACACTCAATCATATATTCTGATCTTTGCCTTGTGATGTATGCTTTTCTTTTTCCTCTGAAATTTTTTATTTTGTGCGAAAAAGCTTCCATCTTTGATCAGTTTGTGAGGCTTCTTCTTCTTCGTTTTCTGATCACAGCTGAATAGGATGTATTTATTAAATTTCCATTCTTGACTTTTTATCAGATAGACCTTGAAGAGATTTTTGTTATATTTCATCCTTGTACTTACTTGGTTTTGTAGTAACTGGAGAATGGCAACAATGTCTGAACTCAAAGAGCGTTTGCTTCCTCCAAGACCTGCTTCAGCTATAAACCTTAGAGGGGATGCAGGTTCTCGTCCTTCTCCATCAGGGAGACAACCACTCCTTGGAGTTGATGTTTTGGGTCTCAAGAAGCGTGGACAAGGGCTTAAGTCGTGGATTCGTGTTGATACTTTTGCCAATTCTCAGGTCATTGAGGTTGATAAGTTCACTATGATGCGTAGATGTGATTTACCAGCACGTGATTTAAGGCTGCTTGATCCTTTGTTTGTGTATCCGTCAACCATTCTTGGCAGAGAGAAGGCTATTGTTGTTAACTTAGAGCAGATCCGTTGTATTATTACTGCGGATGAGGTTTTGCTCTTGAATTCCCTTGACAACTATGTGCTTCGCTATGTTGTTGAGCTGCAGCAGAGACTAAAGGCAAGTTCTGTTACTGAGGTTTGGAATCAGGACAGTCTCGAATTGAGCAGGAGGAGGAGTAGGAGTTTAGACAATGTGTTTCAGAACTCATCCCCTGATTATTTACCTTTCGAGTTCAGGGCTCTTGAAGTTGCCCTTGAAGCTGCTTGTACCTTCCTTGATTCCCAGGTCAGTGATCCATCGATTCAGAACTTCTTGAATTTAGTATGCTCAGCATTAATATTAGATTTCCCTTTGTAGGCTTCAGAGTTAGAGATTGAGGCATACCCATTATTGGATGAGCTTACCTCAAAGATCAGTACTTTAAACTTGGAGCGTGCACGTAGACTAAAGAGCAGACTTGTAGCATTGACGAGAAGAGTTCAGAAGGTTCGGGATGAGATTGAACAGCTAATGGACGATGATGGGGATATGGCAGAAATGTATCTAACAGAGAAGAAGAAGAGAATGGAAGGATCTTTATATGGTGATCAATCTGTTTACCGATCAAATGATTGTTTTTCTCTGTCTGCACCAGTTTCTCCTGTTTCTTCTCCTCCTGAGTCCCGCAGACTTGAGAAAAGCTTGAGCATTGTAAGGAGCCGGCATGACAGTGCTAAGAGCTCAGAAGGCGCAACCGAGAATATAGAGGAGCTAGAGATGTTGCTGGAAGCATACTTTGTTGTCATCGATAGCACTCTCAACAAGCTTACTTCGGTAACATAAAACCTGTTCCTTTGTGTTCATTCATCATCTTGTTTTAACACCAGTTAAAAGCAACACTCTTTACTCTTCAGTTAAAGGAATACATCGATGATACCGAAGATTTCATCAACATTCAATTGGTATACCTTGAAATCTTGATCTTTTTTAGATAACTTATTTGCTTAGAAAACCATAAGAGTCTGCTGAACATTTCTGGAAATTGCAGGATAACGTACGGAATCAGCTGATCCAGTTCGAGCTGCTGCTAACTACTGCGACATTCGTTGTAGCCATATTCGGGGTTGTAGCCGGGATCTTTGGGATGAATTTTGAAATAGACTTCTTTGAACAGCCTGGTGCTTTTAAATGGGTTTTGACCATTACTGGAGTGTGTGGCCTTGTTGTATTTTTGGCATTCGTTTGGTTCTACAAACGTAGAAGACTCATGCCTCTGTGAAGACATAACCTGCCCTGACACGTAGACAATTGTTTTCTTGTTTATGTTGCTTAAATTAATATATTAATCGTCTGTGACTTTTACAAGATGAAAACAGTATTTTTTTTGTCAGATTATTAAGCAAACCAAACCAGAATCATCTTCTCATCATCACCAAAAATGTTCCTACTCAAAACGATATGTTTGGCTGGAAAATGTGAATCACGTTTCAACGAAGAAACGCAAAAATTACAGAATAACGTTTTTGATGGAAAAACACGAAATCACTCGCAAATTTACAAGTTTACAACCACCATCTCATTATCTGGATTTGATAAATATTTCATTTCTTTGATATAGAAACCTCAGAGTAGAGTGTAAAAATACATATCTGAAGGGAACAACACTAGCACAGACATTACTGAGTTTATAGACATGGAAAAACGATGTATGGATCATTCACAAAATGTAGTTGACTAGAGTCTCCTAAAAGGATTCCAAGTGGGGGAGATGACTACTTATCCGAGGATGAAGATGATGAGAGACGAGCTTTTCGAGCTTGATCGGCTTTTTCCAAGTAATCTTGGTGAGAACGATGCTTTGATCCTGAAAGAAACCCGGTTTACCAAACAAGAGCCAATAAGATAAACACACAAGGAGATATTACCAAATGTCACACATGGCAATAAGATAACAAAATAAACATTGTGACTCATTCTCATATATAATCAAACTCTATTTGATTGCATTTGCCAGGAAATATAAAGTTGGAAGCTTTAGATTCTAAATCTTTCAGCTTATGATACTGAATCAGTCAGTACCTGCAGATATCATCATCATCCTCTTCCAATTCGGAATCTAAAGAGAAACATAGTAATATATTTCAATCTAAATAGCCAAGAAAAACGAACCTTGATTCATTAGATACCAAGGGATTCCGAAGATGATGGAGATAATCCCGATCCCAGCCAAAACGTGCTTCTTCTCCCCACTGTAGACATAGTGCTCCATCTTTGCCCTAAATCCTCCTCCTCCTCCCAAATTGCTCTTGCTCTCATTTCCCATCTCGATCTCCACAGCTTTTGCTTCTTCTTCTTCTTCTTCTTCTTCTTCTAGGGTTTATCAGGAATTAGATTTCTCTTTCTCTCGGATCTTTTTACAGACATCTAAAATGGGCCCTATTTAAGCCCATTCATCTTACTTTGTTTATTACCATATTAGACCCCATATTTACTATATATTAGTTTTAACCCCATTAACTTAATAATTTTATATCCTCGTCCCATAAAGACCATAAAGACCATTAAGCCTTCTCACTCGCTTACTCCTTCACTTCTCATGAGCTATGGCTGCGATTGTTGCCATTGCTACGAGACTAACGCGAACGGCACAATGGTCGATTGTGCAACAGCAATATCTGCTGCGTTTAGTGTCAACATCATTGTTTTCGAACTCATCTTTCCAAAATCACTCCTCTTCAGCATTTCATCGAGCAGGTCTTGTGCATTCTCCACTCCTAAGCTATGTCCCACGTTTTGTCTCCTCCAATTGCTTCTCCACTAAAATCATCTCCGACATGTTAGATATCAACCAATCCTTGGTTCCGTTGGAACAGGGTCTGATTGATTTGATCAGACACGTCTCTCAGCTAGAGTCAGAGACGGACGCCATGGCTTCTCTAGAAGAATCATCATTTGATCTAAATCATGAATCTTTCTACTCTTTAATCTGGGAATTAAGAGATGAATGGAGGCTTGCCTTTCTAGCATTCAAATGGGGAGAGAAACGCGGCTGTGATGATCAGAAAGCTTGTGATTTGATGATCTGGGTGTTGGGTAATCATCAAAAGTTCAACATTGCTTGGTGTTTGATCCGTGATATGTTTCATGTATCAAAGGATACTAGAAAGGCCATGTTTCTCATGATGGACAGGTTCGGTTTCAGCTTCTTTTGTTGAATTTGTTATTGAAAGATTTTACCAGGTATTGAATTGGTTGTCTTGGTGTTCATTGTAGATATGCTGCTGCTAATGATACTAGCCAAGCTATTCGGACATTTGATATTATGGATAAGTTTAAACACACTCCTGATGATGAAGCATTTCAAGGATTGCTATATGCATTGTGTAGACATGGGCACATTGAAAAAGCTGAAGAGTTCATGCTTGCAAGCAAAAAGCTCTTTCCGGTCGATGTTGAGGGATTCAACATCATTCTTAATGGTTGGTGTAACATTTGGACTGATGTGACTGAAGCAAAGAGGATTTGGCGAGAGATGGGGAATTACTGTATCACGCCTAACAAGGACTCTTACAGTCACATGATCTCTTGCTTCTCTAAAGTTGGGAACCTTTTTGATTCTCTCAGGCTCTACGATGAAATGAAGAAACGGGGATTGGCTCCAGGGATTGAAGTTTACAATTCTTTGGTTTATGTGTTGACCCGTGAGAATTGCTTTGATGAAGCTATGAAGCTTATGGAAAAGTTGAACGAGGAAGGATTAAAGCCAGATTCAGTCACCTACAACTCGATGATACGCCCCCTTTGTGAGGCTGGAAAGCTGGACCTTGCCAGGAATGTATTGGCAACCATGATAAGTGAGAACCTTAGTCCAACAGTTGATACATTTCATGCATTCCTTGAGGCTGTATATTTCGATAAAACTTTAGAGGTTTTAGGCCAAATGAAGGTCTCTGGCTTAGGTCCTACAGAAGAGACCTTTCTTCTCATTCTTGGAAAATTGTTCAAGGGAAAGCAACCAGAAAATGCTTTGAAGATCTGGGCGGAAATGGATCGTTTTGAGATAGTGGCTAATCCTGCTCTTTACTTGGCTACAGTACATGGCCTTTTGTCATGTGGGTGGCTTGAAATGGCCAGAGAGATCTATTCAGAGATGAAATCAAAGGGGTTCCCAGGAAATCCTATGCTCCAGAAACTTCTGGAGGAGCAAAAGGTGAAGGGGATCAGAAAAAGCAAGAGGATAGATCCTCAAAAAGTTGGTTCTCGGGGAGGCTATAAGGGTCAGCGATCAATATACAAAAAAGAATCAGATACAGGTAAGACTTGAAGAATGTGGATCAAACGATCACTCATGTATCAATTCTCAGACCTCATGGTCTCCACTCTTCTGAAATGTGTTATGTGCAATCTGCACGAGACCAGAAGCTTGGTTCCCAACCTATCCGTTCCATTTGGTTTGTCTGCTTTCACTTCATCTGCCGTGCAGTATTCCAGGTAATCTTTTCGTCCGTTTACTAGATTTGGTGATCCTTACCTTTGCGTATTCCTAAAGGAGAATATCAATGAATCTGCAATACTAATCTTTTTCAACTATACTATGCTGATTCAGGAATCTCTCTCCAGATTACATGAAAGACATTAGAAACTAGTGTGATTCTTGATTGTTACACGTCCACGCATCGCTGCACGTTCAAGTTACAAGAAGTTACGGTTCAGGCCAGACCGCACAACAGGCAAAGGCTGAGCTCAATGTGTTTCAAAGGCAAGATCTTCAGAGCTCTCATTGTCTATTATGCCTTTTTCTGTATTCTTTTTGTCCTTGGACTTCGTTTTTTATAATTCTTCTGTATCATAACTCATGAATCAATGATGAATGTTATGGCCTTGGATTCTTTTGAGTGTTGCAGTTTTCATGCCACATTTCAAGGAACCATCATTTTACTCCATCAAAAAAGCTATGGGTCCCTTGATTATGACTCGCTTACTTTAGTTGCAGCTTCTGAAAATTGATTATTGCTATTTTAAAACCAAACTTGGCTATCATTGAGAGCATGCCCATTAAACACAAAAGGAATATTCATTAGCCATAGGTTTTAGGGCACTTCACTAGCGCAATAAATTTGCCTGAAGATCAAAGCGAGAAATGTCTCTAGATGAAATTGTAGTTAAACTATAATTGATATATATTCTTCTGGGTTTTGATGAAATTTGCATCTCATTCATATATATAGTTTACAAACATTACAACATAATACAGTTCTCAAAAGCGAAAACTCTTTCAAGTTACATCCAACAATTTCGTAAATGAAAAGATCAGATCAAACCTCGAACTACCACTACTCTGCATAGCGCTGTTTTAACTTCTCCGCTTTGATCTACTGCCGTAAAATTTTCCCGGAGGCGATGGAGAAAACTCGAAAGCAGTCGAGGAAATGTCCATTTCCCCTTTCAAGATTCTCACAACTTCACTAACATCAGGCCGTAACTCAGGTGCTTTCTGCAGACAAGCCAAAGCCAAGTTAATGCACAATCCTGCTTCTTCCTTGTTATACCCATCCTTCAATTTCTCATCGACCAGCTCAAGAACGTTCCCTGACTGAGCCAATTGCCTACACCAGCTCACCAAATTCGCTTTTTCAAGCTTCATCGGCGATGCAAGGACGTGTAAAGGCCTCCTACCCGAGATTATCACTAGAATCAGTACTCCAAAGCTGTAAATATCGCCTTTCTCCATCAAGTAACAGCAACCGCCTCCATATTCCGGTGCTATGTAACACAATGTTCCTCTCATACTCGTCGTGCTGCTTAATTCGCGGCTAAACAAATCACCACTCCACATCTCACTCCCCATTGATCTATTGTTGTTCTTCTTCTTCTTGCTGCTGCTATTGCTTTTCCTTCTCCATCCTCTTCTGAAGCTAAATTCTCCCGCTGCTTCTCCTTCTCGGTCGTGCACGCTGTTTTCACCCTTTTGACGGAAACAGTAACGAAAATGTGGGAATTTCAAACGATTCTTGAACTTGATTCTCAGAATTCTAATCTTCTTTTTGTTATTCATCTCATCTTGATGCTCTTCCTCTTTCCACCATTCCTCCATATTCCTATGCTTCTTCTTCTTCTTCTTTTTCAATTTCTTCTTCGTCTTTTCGTTGATCTCTTCTTTCGCAAACTTCTCTCCAAGAGTGTCAAACCTAGATTCATTCAAACCAGACTCATCTCGATCTTCCGCTTTATCGATTGTCCTAGTCGAAACTCCCACCTCAGGAGTAGTGCTGATCTTCTTCTCATCATCCCAATCCGGGTTCGCCGTGTCAATCTGACTCCCTATCCATTCCCTAACATAATCTTTACTACACAATTCACCACTCCCTTCTTGCTTCCACCACCAATCTCTCCCCCATTGTTTCGACCCCTTCCCCAAATCAAGAACCGAATTAGGGCTCAAATTCATCTCCTTGCCCTGATCAAACTCATGATCCTCACATGACAACACAACATGATTGACTTTAGAATCATCCCCATCGTTTGAAACCTCTTTTCCTTTTGTCTCACCCTCCATTGCTAAACTCATCGAATTCAGATTCATTCCCTTGATGTTACGACTTGTTCTACTGTTCTTGGAAGACGAAGAAGCTTGTAGAGCAAGAGCAAAATCAACCTCATGATGCGTTGGAGTACCAATGGCGGTCTGAGGAGTGCTCTCTCCTCCAAAATTCCCAGAAAGTTCTTGGCTGAACAAATCAACCCCATAACCTCCCTCCACTTTAACCCTAGACAAACCAAAATCCGAAATCTTTGCCCTAAATTCAGAATCCATAAGAACATTACTAGGCTTGATATCTCCATGAATCACTGGTGGGTCACACCCGAAATGCATAAATTCGAGAGCTTTCGCTACATCGAGGATGATACTGAATCTCCTTTCCCAATTCAAGCACGAATCTCCATCTTCGTTAAAGAGAAGCTCTTGAAGACTCTTGTTTGGCATATACTCGTAAATCAAGAACCTGTGATGCTTCTCGACGCAATAACCTAAAAGGGTAACCAAAAAAGACGATTTTAACCCGCCAAGAATCTGTAACTCGTTCTGAAACTCGGTCTCTGTTTGGATAGAGAGGTTATCGAGTCTCTTAACCGCGAAAAGCTTGCCGTCTCTTGTGATGCCTCTGAACACAGTACCAGAGCCGCCTTTACCAATCACATTGGATTCGTCGAAATCGTTTGTTGCTAGTTTGAGCTCTTTGTAAGTGAAAAGCTGGAGCTTTAATGGCGATGCAGCAGCAACGTCGAAAGGGATGGTTCTAGAGCGGTTAAGAAGAGAAATCCAGAGGTGATAGATGAAGTAGAGAATTGCGAAGAAGATTACAAGAGAAGATGAGATTGTGAGAATCAAGAAGAGAGTTTTTGTTCTGTTGATGAATAGCTTTGGTCGGACTGGATTTGGTCTTGAAGGCATGTCTCTCTGTTACAAAGATGGAAGAATCGTTTGTGAACATTCGGTATCTTTCTCTCTCTCTCTGTGATCAGGTTTAACTCTGAATCTAGCTAGCTAGTCGTTGAGAATGTCTAGACGAAAAAAGCTGTTTCATTAGTTTGCTTTATTTCTTTTTAGTTTACTTTGCGAATTAAATAATTACAGTATGACACTTTTTTAAAAACAAACAATACTGAAGAAAATCGAGGTTCAAACTGCGTATTCCAATAATTACATATAGAGAAAAAAATAGGAAAAGAAAAGGTTATTATTTTATAGTGGATGGATTTGACAAAAATATAAAAGGACAAAAAAAATTGTGATTAATAAAGAAAGAAAGGAAATGATAATGTTGTTTATAATGATGATGTTACTTGCTTTTGGTAGTGGATCACATAGTGATGAGGTTAAGAACTTAAGATTAGACTTTTTGTGTGTGTGTGTGTTAATTTACTCTCTCTTTTTTTTCTTGTGCCTAGTCGTTCACTTGCTAAGTTAGGATTGAATATTTGGGTGATTAGGATAACTCAAAGAAGAGATTAGTTAGTATGTTAACGAGATTCAAGGAAGAAAGATACTAAGAAATTAGTTAACGATCGAGTTGGGAGGCGAAGTGTTCAAGATCCGCTTTGACTGCTTCGGGAGTTATGCATAAATTATAGATTTTGTACTTTTGCCCCATATCTTTAATATGCACATATCCCACCCACCCCCTTTTTGTAGTCTTGCACATTAAACAAATATTTTAGCATATGAAATTATGTTCAAATGACTCTATAAAAAAAAGAATTAATTACGGATTTTGCCCTTTTTTATAGTGGCATTTGTGGATTTTGCCCTTTTTTGAATAGTTTATGGATTTTACCCTTTTTCAGGTTCCAAAAATATGATTTAACATGCGTTTCACTCGTTATGTTTGGGTTTAGTCGGTTCCATTTGTTCTTAGGGTTTAGTATTTGGTATAAAGTTCGTATTTTTGCAAAAAAAAATCATAAATACGTACATTTTTAAGTGTTAAAAAATGGCAAAAACCGTAAACTATTCAAAAAATGGCATTTTCGAAAGTTTTTCCAAAAAAAATGGCATTTTAGACAATAATCCCTAAAAAAAATCAGCATTGCTTTGATCGCACACTCGAGTTTGAAAGAAAAGGACACTCTAGCTGTTTGGCAAAATGTACACGAATCTCAAAGATTGCAATGGATATTTTGGTTTAAATTTCGACAAAAACTTGTGAGTATTATGGTATAGAAAGATCCATAACGATTCTGGTATTGTTACGACAAATGTAATGTCAAGTTCGTAAGAAAACAAAAAAACTCTATGGGATGTCCCATTCTTTATGTTTGTGATAAAGTCAGAAGTGGGTGTATGTGGACCAACAATGTCATGTGCACTCAGATTTTTGAAATTTTTCGTTATTCAAAATAAAAATTAAAGAGAGTGAGTCAGAGTAAAAGAATCTCCACTGTCTTTTGTTGTCTTGCCCTTAACAGAGTTACAGTGTTCAATTTGAACCATTATTATCATCAATAGTTTTTCTTTTTAGAAATTGGTGAAGAAGACACGATGAAGTGCTCTTCGTAATTCGACCTTGTTACTTTTGTTTTTTCTTTTAGATGTGAGCTATTTTGCTTGATTTTATAAACTATAAAGGGATATTTATATAGGTTATTACCAAATAGAAACTAGCTATTCCAATCCATAACAGAAATTCTAGTCTATCAAAACTCTTACATGGCCTAAAATGCTTTCCATAAAATTTCTACTACAAGTTATGTAATACGGACCACATAATAAACATTGCCATGGATTATCAAAGTATCAATGCGGTGGACGCAGCAGCGGCTGTTCGTGGGATTTTTGGTGTCAAGCCAAGTTCTACTTTTCCTTGGATCACTCAGCATAGATTTGCCGATAATGTATTGATATTCTTTGATGGATCGGAATCCTCTCTTTGTGGCATCCTTTCTGTTTTTGGCCATTTTTAATTACCAGGCTTCACATAAGTAAGGAGAAGTAGCCAAAACAAGAAATTTGCTACAAATAATATAAAAGCACTAAATATCCATGCAATTAATTATTTTGATTATCCCAAACATCAATTTCTCAAAGACGATTTACATCAACACAAGAGGAAAAGTATATGAATTCACGAAATTTAGCGTTCAGATCCTAAGTATGATTCAAAACGATGGTGCTTCAGTGTCAAGGAACATGACATAAAGATGCTTCGAGTTATAATATGATTCCTTATAAGAAATAGAAAACATCAAACCTTTACTCGTCGTGAACAGAGTCTGAATCCACCTCTCTACTTGTTGCTTACGAATAGTGCTTACGTTTGGATGAGCTTTTTGCTCTTTCGTCTCTGCCGATTTGTAGCAGGTTTCTGTGTTGTTTGTTTGTGGCATGTCTTTATAAATAAGCAATTTAGATTTTTTTTTTTTTTTTTTTGACGTCTCTGTTTTCTTACCTTTGTAAATCGATTTTCTTCTGTAATTAACGTTCCAAAAAATGACAGTTGGGGAAATTTCTGAGAGTTAATAAATCTGAGAAAGCCATCAGAACCTGATTTTGATGCACTTGATACAGAGGAATTAAGCTGAGTACTTACAATGTTCTCCTATACCTAAAACTTCGAACAGAGTCTTAATGTAAAGAGTCACATTAATGTTGTTTTTTGTTGTTTAATCATCTTTATGTACAATAAAGTTAAACCCTTTTTCAAGCATTCATTAGATATCACGAGGATCAGCAAAAATCACGGAAGTATATCTCGACCTAGTCCAGTCAGACGGTTCAGGTTCATCGGAGAGTTTCTTGAGGCACCAGAGATCTTGAGCCCACGAAAGCCGTTTCCAATGAGGAACGACCAAAGCCACTGCGTCTGATGGGCTAAGCTCTGCCGCTAGCGCTCCACATCCTCTGTCGTATCTCCCAATGTTGTGCACAAAGGAGCATAAACTTTTCATGAGCCGTGGACCGTCTTTGCCTTCCATGTGCATGCCATACATGAAATAAACCCAAAACTTGTCGAACACGTTAGGGAACGAAGGTAATTTCATCCATGGCATACAAGAATCCAAAAATCTCGAACCGGAGCAAAACGCGTGTGTTAACCGGGAAACGCCTTTCATTTGCAGCCTGAATACATCTTTGGTGCTCCAAACGCTTAGTATCGCGAAATTAACAGGGAAATCGCGGTCTAAGCAATTTGATTTGGGACCGTGTTTTTCATTTGGCACGGCTATAAACGTTCCTAAGCTGTTGCGGCTGGTTAAAATTGCATCAATGTCACTAGGGAAGAATTCTGAGTCTTTGAAAATCCGGGTGTAGATTGATTCGGCGGTTTGGGGAGTTAGTCGGAGAATTGCGACATCTGAACTGATCGGTTTGGTGTGGGCGTGAACCGGTTGAACCAGCATTGTCGGTGTACGGAATTTGACATATGAACATTTCTTGGTGAACAAGTTAATGGAAGGCTCGTTGGTACAATCAGTGGCCATGTACGCGTAGGTTGCGCCTTGTTGCTTGAACCATTCTTCAAGTGCGTGCACCAATTTCGTTCCTATGCCTAAGTTCCTGCTCAAGAAATCAAATTCAAAAATTAAGTAAGGATTAGTGCTGATATACTTTAAAATTAAATCTGATTTGTAGAAAAGGGATTAGTTTATTTTGAGAATAATTATGTGAGAGGAATGATGAATTGGGGTGGATACAAGTGTCAACTAAGGGCAACTTCTTCCTTTTGAATACCTAACTGAATCTATCATCAATTTTTTCTTTAAAGTTTTATTTAATGTAAGTGGAATTGAATCGAATTAAAAGCAGAATATATAAAATGCTGATGCTTTTTAAGTTAAGTGGGTTTTAGGTAAAAGTATATCTCTTCTAGTACTAAGAAATTTCTATTTCGAAATCATGAATAGAAAAATTATTTCTCTATGTGGAAGGAAAATAAGGAAACGGGTAAACATGGAATGGACACGTAAATTTTGCATTGTGTATTTTATAAAAACAATGACTTCAAGAAGAGAAATAGCGAAAAAAAACTTGTGAACAAATTTGTCCTTGTCACGTTTATGATCATTAGATAACAACGGTAATGGCAAATTACTCGTCTATGATTATTGTGAAAAAGCATGAGAGTGACTTTTGACTTCTATAATTTTTTTTGCCAATGAAGTTAATGTAAAATATTTGTTTTTAGTCAACAAATTAATGAAGTCCATAAGTCATATACAATTATAAATCATGATTCATGAGTAATTATACTTTTATGTAAAAATTAATGGATCTAGTAGAATGAAGAAAAGGAAATTACTAACCGATGGGAAGGTGAAACACGAAGACCAAGAACATAAGCGAGTTTGACAAAAATAGAGTTGCCTCTAGTCACAGTTTTAACACATCCTCTTACAACTCCCACTATCTTTCTTCCTTCTCCGTACTCTGCAACCTACACTTCCTCGCATTTTTTTTCATTTTAATCACATCATCATATTCCATATATATAAATATACACTAGTCACGATAAAATACTCACCTATACATACATATTTTAATAGTGAATGTGTAAAATAAGAGATGTTATAAGAGATTAGTTATATATTACCAACATAGTGTGAGACGGAAAATGACGAACGCGACGAACCGGATCGCCCAGTAGATCAGAGACCATTACCGGTTTGCCATGATTCCCGGTTTCGTCACATTTTCGTTCCATATCTTCCACGTCATGCTTGTCCCTTTCCTCATCGTATTCTCTCACCACCACCGCAGCCGCAACTGCCGTGGCAGCCACTATTTTATTCGTCATATATATATAACTTGTTGAGACGAAGAAAATAATTAAGAGAGGTGGGTCTTTAAACTCTGATCGAGAGAGGGTTCTTGATTTCTTATTGGTGGTTATAAGTTGTGATTATTTTGTGATGTCATGTATATATATAGAGACGGCTTTGCAAAGTTTATGGAAACCTTTTTATTATTTAAAAATCTTTGAATGTATTTTTTTCTAAGTGGTACAATAATAATCATCATATTCGAGTTTATTTAACCGGTTGGTCAGGTACTTTTGGGATTTGTCGAATCACAAAGGTAGGAATAATGTGAATTTAATTATTGTGTGATCAGAAATAAAACAGGAAATCTGGTGAATATGGACGAAAAATTTCGATAAAACTGTGCCAAGCACGTCGATCATGTGAGAGCCAATTAGACTAGCTAGTTCTTTTTTTTTTATGTTTATCATTTGATCCACAAATTGGTCCATAAGATCACAGGTCCCTAAGAAATTAGATTAAAATCTATGAAAAAAATTAATCATCAACCGAGTTAATCTCTCCAAACAAGATATGCAAAACTCTAGTAGTATTTAACTAAGTTTTAATCAGGTATAAATTCCCAAGAGAAAGGCGCCTAAAGTTGTACAGCAACTTATGGTAGGGAATGAAGTAAATTGTTAATCAAGGCATATGTCTGTACTTAGTGCATATGGCGGCGGTTCTTTACGCTAAATAATTGTAATTATTCAGTGATATATCATATATAATAGACTTATAGAGAGAAATAGTACTATAAGAGTTCAGATTTAAGGCCACGTAAATATCAAGCTTTTTGTTTTATTCCTAGATTTTGATTATGGAAATAATTTTAGTTTAACCAGTTGTTATTATACAGGACGGTAAGATTGCTAGTGGCTCTTGATTATATGCTATCATAGATATAAATTATTAGATAATGACATGACATAACATTTGAAATAACTAATTGATACTCCAAAAAGAAATTCAGAAAAGGACAAACGTCAGGTTCATATAATTGAGAACTTGAGTGTGCTGAATATTGGTGAGTAGCTCTAACCTATAATAGTTGATTTATGAATTTGAAACATCATTTGACAAAGAAAAACAAGAAATAGAAAACATCGTATGAACCAGGGAGACAAACAGAAAATGACAAACAAAAAACAGAAATTAGTATAATTTTTTTTGCCAACATATCACATTTATAATTTATTTTTGGGACTTATGGATTTCTTTTGTTCTTTGCGATTTTTGGTCGTTGGGTCTCTCTCATTGGCTAATATCTCTTTTAGATTTTGTGTCTTTGACGTATTGAAAACGACATCGTACTGTAAGGACTTCCGATAAGCACTTCAAACCTAATTCAATATCCAAATTCCAAACGACAACTACCTCTAAGAAACTAATATCCTCAGCGTGAAGCCAATGTACAAATCGACAGCACATAACTGTAGTTAAATTTAACTGTTTTTTTTTGGTTTTGCAACAGAAAATAGAAGAATATATGATTTTATATAATTTACAAATCGACAGCACATAAATGTAGAAATTTCTAATACATGTGAAAAGGTTGAAGGAGAAAAACGTTAAGGATAAGAATGCATTACTGCATGCCTTATAGTCATATCATATATAAATTTTTTTTTTGTCATATCATATCACGTGAGTTCCTTTCAATGTGCTCTCTTTTTTTTCCTTTTTTTCCTTGCCGTTTGTCTTTTCTAAAATGATTTTTCTTTCTTATTTAACATAATAACTATGTAGTATAACTACTAACTAAAGACTTAATATAACTACTAACTCTTTAGGAAAACGATTTTCTAAATATAGGTGATGGGCAGAAGAAGATAAACCTTCACTATTTTTCCAATTTATATGAAGTCTTTAATTTGTTCACATCTATATTTATCTACCGCTGTGTGTGTGTGTCTTTACTTTCACCAACTATATATACAATTAATATAAATAGGAAAAGCTTTTGAAGTTGATTCTATAATCTACTACCTCTTGTAGAGCCGTAATTTTCGATAGTGCGTCGCAATTTGCAATGAGTTATAAAGATTTATGTTCCATAACTTTGGTGATGGAACAAATTCTAATTCACTTCCCACATGTAGATTAAATTATATGAAATGATCCCTTCATGAGTATATATCATATCCTAAATAAAAAAAAAAAAAGTTATAATGATTTCTTACCGTAGTGGGAAATGATTCGTGCGATTAAAACTAGCTAGAACTAAAAGTGGAACAAGGTGGCCACTAAACTCAGTTTCAAATCGTGTAAAGTTTCAAACTCACTAAACTCAGTTGTGAAGGCCGGCCACTTCCTTGGTCTTGAAGCTATTTGTACCAGTGATAAATTAAATAAGAGCATAAACTGTCTATGATGTTTTGTAGATATGCAATTCATTGTCGATATTATGGCAGCCCCACATGTTGTAACACTAATCTTTCATTGTGTCCAAAAATACCAGCCACATAAAATTATTGAAGATCTTTATTTTCAAACTTTGTCTTTGACCGGTTTAATCGATGGGGCCTCTAGGAATTTTTATTTATTTGTCGTCTACCTCTACTAGAGCGATCCTTTAACTTGATTCAATTGAGTACCATTTTGGATTCATTTCCATTCATGAGCTTTAAATAAGAAAATCCTTTCATACATTATGAATTCTCTGATCAAAATTAAGAGAAATTTGATGTAGCCATTGAATACAAAAAAAAAGCATAAACCTTACATTAAATTTGATTTCAAGATGTATGATATGATTTGTGATAAGTCACTAATAGAAGAAGAGAAAATGACTATGACAATCAGACAATGTATTGGGCCAAAGAGATATGTTGAGGCCTATTTAGAGACCCTTGGGCCGAAGAAATCTGTTGAGGCCTATCTAGAGACCCAATAGCAGAAGTTGTTTGAGCGAGACTCAGATTTTCCCATCAGCAAAAAACAGAGCAAGAAAAAAAAAAACGTAAGCGAAATGGGATTATTGGCCGCGATCGGAGTTCTGTTGCCATTCCCGTTTTACTGGTGGCTATGGACGAATCCTCAGTCATGGGTCAATCTCTGCGGCCGAGGAAGAGACCCATCGACGGTAATGGCGCGTGTATCTCACGTGCTCAAGGCTGCTCAACTCATCTCTCTCTTCTCCGTCGCTTCTCTCTCCTGGCCTCCGCTCTACTTCTGGCCTCTCATGGCCTTTGGCCAGTTTCTCAACTTCAGGTCCAGTTCCTCTCTCAATTTGTTGAATTCGAAATCGAATCGAATACATGAGATCGATGAAAATAGGAATTTTTAGTCAACCCATTTTTTAGTTGAAATCGTATCTGCAGACGTTGTGAAAGTCTTGTCCTCTCTCAAGTTTCAATCATCGAATCTGGTTTAGTCTTGTAAAGGGTTGATACTTAAAGGTCACATCTTTGACTGCTAGGTGAAGAGTTGTGTTTATGCCGCAACAAAATGGATATTGAGTGATGTTTGATATGGGCACTTCTTTGTTCTGTAACTGAGCTCTCTTGGTGTGAAGTTACGTTAACTTAAAAAGGTCACATCTTTGCAGGGTATATCAATTGTTAGGTGAAGCTGGAACATATTACGGTGTTCGATTCGGGAAGAACATACCGTGGGTTACAGAGTTCCCATTCGGAGTCATCAGAGATCCACAGTATGTTGGGAGTATCATGTCTCTATTGGCATGCCTCTCTTGGGTTCCATTCCAATACATTCTCCTCTGGTCTCTCGGCTATGTTTTCATGATGTTTGTGGAATCAAAAGAAGATCCTAGTGCTCGTGCCAAATCCCTCTCATGATTCCTAAGCATAACCCACTTGTGTTAGAAGAGCAAAACTCCCAGGAACGACAGGTCTTTACTGTTTTCTTTTTGAGTTTGTATTCTCCTTTGTACCCAAACTGATTCTACACTTCCTTGAATAATGCAGTTACCTTTTCTCGGGTTATCGGTAGTCTATATAATTGTCGAAGCAAGTATGAGATTATCTTGCCCTTTATGCCAAAGCCAATGATGCTGTAAAGAACCAACTGGAAATATAGGACGCATTTGTAATAAACAAAAACTAAAGGAAACAAAATGTAATAAACAGAACTTTAATGAGCAATCTTGAAATAAATAAATCTGTAGGAAATATCTGTAATAACTACAAACTATCGGGGATACATGTAATTATTCTAAACTATGAGAAATTGTATACACGTAAATACAAATTGTCGGGAGACACTCGAGTACGAAAGAAGTTTTGTTTATTTTTCGACCTCATTTGTAAATCCTTGTCTTGGCATGGACTGATACAAGACAAAACATTCCTAATCTGTCTAGTAATCATTAAGCAAGAAACTAATTTTTTAGTGTATAGATCTCAAACCTATTGTTTGGCTTTATCGGGTTAAGAGTTAAAGAAGACGACCCATAGTTTTGGATCCGATCTTTTCGTACTAGGTTTTGACCCGGTTATTTTCGGGTCGGGCTAATTAGGAAAAGAGGAGGAACCAAACGATGACGTGTAAAACTGTGACTGGCGAACAGCAACTACTCTTCCTTGGTACTCTTCTTAGTTCTTACTCTCTCCGGATTCCTTTCCTTCTCGATCGGAAAAGTCATCTCCTTTTTTTTTTTTTTGAAAGGATTTTCTCGTTACAATTCCAAAGCTTTGTCTTTTGTATGTATCTTCACTTTCTAATGAATGTGTAAACCTTACTCATTCCCGTGATCCTAAAGAGCAACTTGGGATTTCGCTAGAAGAATTGAGAAATTTTTAGGTGACGACTCACTTCTTTTAAGTTTGTAAATGCAGGTCCTTTCTTTCTAGGGTTTATCGAAATTGGTGTAATCTCTTGGAATTGGTTTGAGATTTTTCTTTTGGGGAATTGCTATTCCTTAGTCGTGACTCGTAATCCAGTGTTTTAAGTGAACAAGGCAATTTCGAAAAACGGAGACTTTTAGGTCAATGTCGGCTCCACCGCGAGTTCGGTCTGTGGATTCATCCGATCGAGAATTCAGATCAGTTCTTGGTCCTGCCGGTAATAAGCTGCAGCAGAAACCGTTGTCAAAGCCGGTGGCTGATAAAACCAAAAACCTAACCTTTACGAAGAAAATGCCGCAATGCTCGCCTCTAAGCCCTTCAATTCTGAGACGAAACGGTATCTCGATGACCGCTTCGTATTCTTCAGATGCATCGTCTTCGTGCGAGTCGTCGCCGTTAAGTGTGGCGTCGACTTCGAGCGGGAAGAGGGCTTTGCGGCGAAGTGGGTCACTTTCTTCTTCCTCTTCCCTGAGAAGAAATCTGACGGAGGAGAGAGATGAGAAGGCTAGTGATTGCTTCTCTGACGGTCGTAAAAGATGCGCTTGGATCACGCCTAAATCTGGTAATACAATCTCTCTTGATTCATCAATTTCAGTTTTTGTTGGAATACAATTGTTCCCACTTATCAGCTACTGTTATATAGCAGCATAGAAAATTGATGCTTGGCTTTACCGGTTAAGCAATTGAAGTGTCAGCGTCCTTAAAGAAGATTCTGAGTTTGACTAGTTTAAAAGATTTGTATTCTCTTGCTTTGGAAGTTAGTTTTCTAATGTAGAGCGGAAATCTTTAGTATGTTTTGTGGTCAGGCAGATCATATCTCTATTGAACAACGGCCACAGAAACAGGAATTTGTAGAGATCAGTTTTTGTCATTTCTCTACGCTGATGGGGCTAAGGCCTTGACTTTGTCTTGGCTTGAATCTTTTCATCTGCTATATGACTGACAGATAATTCTGTTTTTTTTTTTCTCGTAAAAGACCAATGTTACATTGCTTTCCATGATGAAGAATGGGGAGTTCCTGTCCATGACGACAAGTACGTGATGTTTTCTCTTTATACTACTGACTATGTTTTTTTACTGATCTGAGGGATGCTCTTTGTGGACTCTTATTCAGTGAATTGTTTGCAGGAGACTATTCGAGTTGTTAAGCTTGTCTGGTGCTCTTGCTGAACTATCTTGGAAAGACATTCTTTCCAAAAGACAATTATTCAGGTAACCAGAACCAAAGCTGTTGTGGTTACATCTTCAGACTTCTTACGAGCTCGAATCTCAAAATGCTTTTTCCTTATTTTATACAGGGAAGTTTTCATGGACTTTGATCCAATTGCAATATCTGAACTAACTAATAAAAAGATAACATCCCCTGAGATTGCTACCACTACGTTACTATCAGAGCAAAAGCTACGGTCAATCCTCGAGAATGCTAACCAAGTTTGCAAGGTAATTTATCATCTATATAAGCCTGATCATAGTTTCTGTGTTTCTTAACAAAATTACCCTTTTTCTTACTGTTATTGGTTTTCTCAAATCCAGATAATAGTTGAATTTGGATCATTTGACAAGTACATTTGGAACTTCGTTAATCAGAAACCTACTCAGAGCCAATTCCGGTACCCACGCCAAGTCCCTGTGAAGACATCCAAAGCTGAGTTGATAAGCAAAGATCTAGTACGCAGAGGCTTTCGCAGTGTCAGTCCAACGGTTATTTACTCGTTCATGCAAACAGCTGGTCTCACAAACGACCATCTCACTTGCTGCTTCAGACACCATGACTGCATGACAAGAGACGAGACTGGTAATTAAAGAAAAACCCAAGAGAGAATAGTTTAACACTGTGCTGCTTAGGATGATGGTTTGCTGTTGTGCTGTGTTTATCATTTGTACAGATGTTTTTGTTGTCAAACTAGGAGGATTTTCTAAGCCGAATGTATTGGAGATTGTATGAAAACGATTACATGTTACATTTTCAGTATCACAATGGATTATAATCTACTCTCTTTCTCTTACTCATGACAAATTTCAATCTAAAAACACTAACGGAATTTGAAACTAAACTATTTCTCGTTATGATTCTGTTGATATAATTTTCCGGTAACAGCTGCTGCTAAAGCTGCTGTAAAGTTAGGATCTTTGGTCAAGGAAGAAGCCATTTGCTCCACCAAAAGTTTCTGAACTTCGGGAAAATCGATTCTTGATGTTGGGCTCGTCACTTTCTTTGATTCAGTCAAATCTACGGTAGTCAATGGCTCAGTCAAACTATTTCTTCTGTTGGCTGCTGCGGGTGTTGAAGCTGAACCACCATGAGAGATGTAGCGGTTTAAGCCATTGTTTGAATCGATCTGCGATGGCATTGGATGGTTATGTTCACCCTCATAAGTCGCAACCAACACGGACTGATCCTCCACACTTCTCTGAACCTGAAGAGAAACAAACACAGAATCAGAATCAGATTAATAAGTTTATCATCAAATATGTATATTCCAATTCATAATTTTAGGGAGAATCGGGTTATTTTCTTTATCAATTACCTTCTTTTTGACAGAACAGCTTGGAGCACAAGCACATTTGAAGTAAGCTCTTGGAGATGGATTGTCTCTAGTCACCTTCTGTCCATATTTCCTCCATTGATACCCATCTTTCACAACCTATAAGAAGCAACTTCTATAATCAATAAACCATATAAAATAAAGTTTCTAAAGATAGATACCAAGTTTGATAGTTTCCATGAAGGCTTACAAGGGTAGTGTCAGAAGCTTCGGTCTTGTAATAGACCCTTGAGACTTTCTCCTTCACAACAGTCTCTTCTCTCTGCTTCTTACACAAATACTCATCTTGATCCGTTGAGCTACTCTCCGACACTCCACCAATAACCGCCGAGCTGAATGCGTCCTCTCTCGCCGGAGATTTTCGTTTCTTGGGAGGGCTGATTTGATCTCTCTCGGTTATGTTGCTCTTGTTAACATATTCCATTAGTTGCTTCCTCAAGACGTTGTAGTTGTCATACATCAAAGTTAGCATCTCCGAGAGCTTCTTGTTCTCAGCACTCACTCGCTTTAATTCTTCCACCAAAGCACTTGTCTGCAATTTATCATTTATATATATTGCATGAAGTTAGTAACCATATTATTTTTTCATACTATAAGTTTAATTGATTTGATGATCTAGCGTTACAATTATATTTCAAGAACCCACCACATGAATTACTAACGATTTTTTTCTTGTTGTTAAAGTTTATGCATATGTACACCAATTATATATATATAAATTATATGTAGTATATGAGAATATCTATGTTTATAGATTATACATGTGAAATAATCTGTGGATATTTGAGTTAGTTTAAATATTTTCAAAACCACAAAAAAAAAATTGAAAAATATATGTGTCTAGTATAGTACATAATGATGAACTACTAAGATTAAAAAGCTCCGTGGATATTTATAATAGAATAGAATTTTTCTGAAGATGTAGAGAATGAAGAATCCGAGAGAAGCATACCGGTGGATCTTCTTCAACTCGCATACGAGTAACGCCGATAGTGAGATCTAATGAAGTATCGACCAAAGAGGATGAGTACTGATCCATGTAAATATATGTAGGAAGAATCTTTTTGATATGGGTTCTTGTGGAAGTTTCCGTAAGCTGAGGAAGAAAGTTGAGAGAGATTCGTAGTAAGAGTCGATCTTGGGTTCTTCTTTTTCTCTTGTGGAATTGTTGAAGAGAGAAGATTTTGATTCTATATATAATGGAGTGTTAAGAGGAAACTAGGCGGAAAGAGGAAGAAGGAGAGAGGAGCATGTGCTTTTCATTTTCATGCAATAAACTAAGTGATGGTCTTATCATTTCTTGTTTACTTTTAGACTTTTAGTCTTAAGATTCAACTCGGCTTCTATCGGGTCCACCCGCACACGTATTTGGTCCAATCTTTATTACAATTTTTTTTTAATTATTGGATACATATGAAATGCATATTTGTTATTCTTGATTTTTATTTTGGATAGTTGGTTGACATTCTTTTTTGTTAAACAAACATTTGGCTTGTGATTGGTCTACTAAATAATATGACTCTTTTCCACGTTTGCTTTTATATGTTACTTACTTTTTTGTTTTTGTTTCTTTAGCCGGCCTAAACTCAAAATTAATATATTGAGAATATAAAAAATCCCTATTAAACGGATTAGACCGGAAAAAAATCGAACTAGACGGAGAGTAATCATGTAATTGATTTTTTAAAGAATTAGTCATTAATTAAAGTGGATAGAGGAGGCTTAGCAATTAAGAGGAAAGTGATCGGAGATAGGCGAGAATTTTTAAAACAAGGCATAAAACAAAATTTATTTACATCCCATTTTTGTTTGAAGACGTTTATTATTATTATTTTAAAACGTTTGTTAATTGGTTGTCATATAACAACTATACTCTAATTTAAATCCAGAATTTGTAATAATTCATCGTATGTATAAACTGGACATGCAAAAAATTGCTTAGTTATTTCCTATTGGGGCCTCAGCCAAAAATAAATGTATTGAACTTCTGTTCTTTTCAAGTTTTCAACTAAAAAAAAACTATTGTGTGATTCTTAAACAAGCTTGATGTGTGATTAAATAAATATGTTGTATTGTATATCATCATAGTTTTTTCATGGATTTAAGTATTTAACTACACCTAAATATCGGACAATAATTATGTTTTTTAGAGATAACTTAATGGATAAAGTCATAAAGTAAGGACTACAAATGACATGTGGGATAAAGGAAATGATTGATTAGATGTATAATAATAATGAAATGTAGTAAAGGCGTGCTTAATTAGGAAGTTTAATACTTCTATTTGTGAATTAATCAGCACGTTTGACAAAAAAAAAAAAGAAATGACAACTGTAGTTGGTGATAGTAATAGTATAATAGAGTGTGCGGAACGTGGTTTATATCTTCTAATGAGAGAGATATCTTCAGTATTTCTAATTATATTCTAAATAAATGTGTATACGTAATACGTGTGCCTTGTTCGGTCAAAGTCAAGCCCACACGGCTTTTCAAAAACCACTAGACAAATTGACGATACTATCGTGACCAACCTTTTTTTTTCTTTTCTTTTTTTTGACATCAATATCGTGACGAACTTTAACAAATCTTAATTGCCTTCTACAATTAAGATTACATCTACAAATATTATATATTCTTTAATTATTTTTATGAAATTATCCTCTTAACTAACTACTTTTAAAAAGTGCTCACTTTTCTTATGCTAAATTAGTTACTTAAGGATGCCCTGTATCATAATTTTTTTTTTTTTTTTTTTTTTTTGCTAAAAATGTTAATATTTCATAAAAATATTAACATTGAGAAAATGTTAATAAGGTATATTGTGATGAAAGGGGTTCGTCAACCACACGCGCTTAACCTTTTTTCTCCCAATTAGAAGTTCGCCCTAGCCGTCTCTTGGAGCAGTTTCTCCGGTGACTGGTGGTTGGTTGCTTCTGCAGTATCGACGCCGGTCACCCCCCTTTTATTTTTAGCGTTGTTTCTTCTCCGCCGCCTGAAGCTTAATCATTCTTCTTGTTTATGCTTTGAATCTCGCGGCGTTTGGGTGTGTATCCGTCGTACGCGGCGGCCTTTTTTAGGTGGATCGGCGCTCCTCCGTTGTTTGTTCTTTGCCTATCGTCGGTGACTAGCATTGTCATGCCTTTTCATCATAATTTTTGCTAAAAATTATGATGCCCTGTATCATAATTTTGTTTGAACATTGAGAAAAAAATTACTATTTGGTGAGATCCTATGTTATTATGTTTAAAAAGTTAGTAAGGTATATTGTGTTAGTAAAAACCCGCACAAATAAACCGGAAAACTTAGAAGTAACAAGAATAAACAAGAGTAAATAAAATAAAAACGGATTTCTTTATTGAATTCAATAATAAACTTGATGGAATTACAAGAGATTTCTAACAAGCTTAGTAAACAAAACATAGTTTCTTTGTAAATATCGAGCCTAGGGTACTTAAGTGTCGAAGTCTGAATCCTTTGCTCGATAGTCGAACGTACTATTTATACCGAGAGAGTATCGGTCTTCGAATATGTTCTTTTTTCTTATTATTGGAGAGAAAATCTTTATTTTATCTGAGTTGTTACATATTTGTGTAGATTTAAACCAATCTTTCTATATCTTAACGTAGGCCGGTTTCTGGTTACTTACTACCGAGCTAGTCGAGCTTTTATAGTAAGACCGATTTCACGATTGGGACGAATATATGGACTATTTCCTTTATTTTTGGTTTAAGTCGAGTTAACCAGATTCATTATATCTTAACATTTCTATATCATAATTAAGGTGATTTGTGTTAAGATTAATGGAAGTAGCTGGTAAATTCTCACACTATGTATTGGATAATAATTTTGTTACGTCGATTTTCTTAAACTAAAATATATTTAGTTGTTTGTTTTTTGGATCAACATACGTATTTTCTTAAAAGTCAAGCCTACTCGGCGTTTCAAAATGACACTTGACAAATTTGGCTGACGAACTTTATCAAATCTCAGTGTCCTTCTTCCTTTTTTTTTTTTCTTATTGAAGTGTCCTTCTTCCTTTTTCAATTTTTTTCCCACTTATTTTTGTTTTCTCCACTTATTTTGCCTTTAGCGGTTCAAGAATGTCAAAATGTTATAGATTCTTAGGTTTGTAGATAACAGAAAAACCATATATATAGACCTCAAACTTACATTGTCGAAACCTTTCATAGTTGAAGTGCTTAACTACGATCTACTAGATGAGTACGCCATTTAATGTTTAACATATAATAACTTGAAAGTTTAAAAAGATATATCTAGGTAAGATATCCGGAATTTCGTTCGATAATTATATCTGAAACCAATCGTCGATAGCATTTCAGAAGACGTAAATCATATTTCTCCACAAATAATAGAACATGCAACACACACAATTTTTCAGTTTAATTTGTTTTATAACTTTATTAAAATTAAAATCTAATTGTATGCGGAAGTATAATTGTATAAATATAATCTATAAACCCTAGGGAAAAGGTATTAACATCATCATTAACAAAAAAAAATTGTTATACACTAATTACAACCATATTAGTTATATAAGATTAAGTTCCACCGGTTTAATCTTTAACAGTTATTGTAATCAGTCGGTCCAAATTAAAAAGAATTATATATTCCCTACTGACTAATATTCATTCTCATAGAAAAGTAGGGCTGCTAATAGTTTTTTCTTCTTCTGTTTTTCCTTTCCTTTTAAGAAACAGATTGAAAATTGTAGGTTGGTTCTTACAACACTCAACGAACAATTTGGTCACAAACCATCATTGTTAATTAATATCTTGCAAAAGACAAAAACTCATAACCTAAAGTATGTATGTTCAACGATTTAATTTATCTCGAGTTATACTTAGAATTCATTCAAAAAAGAATTGTACGTAGAAGTTAGCTGCCATATATTGTTTTGTCAAACACTATATGCATGTTGGGAATGAAGACAAAAAATGAAGACTGGCCGACCAAAACATAATTGAAATTGTAATATATAAAAGAAGAAAAAGGGAAAAAAAAAAATGGGCAGTCGGTGATGGAATTGTTAGACGTACGTCACGGTGATGAAGTCATGAAAATGAAAAATAGAAAGTGGACAAAAATTCAACAAAAGCAAAAACAAAACTTTTCTCGTCCAAATTAAAGGACAGAACAGAAGAGAGAAGGCCAAGTGGTAACGAAAGCACAATTCCTTTCCTGTATTTTAAAGACTTTGACCTCTTTGACCGTTGACCTCGTTGACTCGGGAAAATCCTCGCACGAGTGGTTGGTTTGGTTTTACTTCCCTATTCCTCCCCTACTTTGTTGTGCCTGTCTTCTTCCGGTCTTTATATATTTTCTTCTCTTTTTTTTCAATAAAGCCTTAATATCTCTTTTTAAGTCTTTTTTTTTTCTCCACTATCCTAATCCAATTAAGGTATAATAATATGGAGAAAACAAAAGGTATAATAATATCAGTACATTTTCTTAGACTTAGAGTTAAAACGGAATATTTTCTTGATAGAATAGAAGTCCAATTCACACTCGAACTTTCAGTTATATATACATTTGTCCCGTTTTATTTTTGATTCATATATACAACAAAGTCATGACTTTCACTTGTTAACTAAGCCTATATATTATAATATTAATATGACATGTTTCATAATTTTTTATTCGTTTTAAAATAACTAGTAACTGTCGTTTAGTATATATTTTTGTTTTGTTTTAAAAGTAATATTTAGAATTTCAATTTAGTTATTGATAAGAAAAATATCAATTTTCTTTAACGGTATAATAAAATTTTCAACGTTTTTCAATTTGTGTAACAGTATCACAACAATACTATTCGTGGAGAATTTAATCAGTATTTTTTGGGATATTTTGTTTTTTTTCTGTTGGTTAGTTAAGCAGTAGTTGTCCACTAAAGGATGCATTGAACTTGGTTAGAGGAACAAAAAGGCCGTACAATTCAAGGGTTCATGAACTGGGAAAGGTCTAAACATGTGTTGTCTGTTAAATATTACTAATATATATTTTCTTGCCTTTTTGGAAATGGTCTTTTGGATTTTGTTTTCAATGTCATGTCCAATTAATTTTATGACCAAGTGTGGAATCAAAGACTAATCCCAAATCTTAGATTCCACTCTGGCGAATTGTTTTACTTTTCTTCTATTATATTCCTA